TCTTGGCCCTCCTGCCCTTAGAATACCAAAACCATTTCTAAAAGAAGCAATAAGAGGTTTGGGAAGAGTGAGGGAGGATGGAATAGGTGAAACCCAGGTGATATTTTAGGGTGGTGAAACTATTCTGTACAATGACTCTATGCTTTTGTCAAAACCCTTAGAACTTCACAAAGAGTAGACTTTATAACATTAAAAAAAAGTCTTTTAGGAGGGAGGTAAGCGACCCTTTTGGGAGTCCCAGAGTGTGGAGCTTTCTCCTAGAGATAGGTGGAAAGCCTAAGATGCATCTACATGGTGTGCAGTGGCTAAGAAATCCAGTCCTAGACAAAGTTTTACCAGCCAAGTTTGAAGAGGAAGATTAGCATCCAACCAAGCCATGTTCATGAGTGATCTACAACTTGAGTCAACAGGAATGTATTAAGTAATCTGGAGCACAGAAACAAGAACAGAGACCATACAGCCAACAGTCAGCAGCACTCAGGCCTTGCGTGATCTGAGCCTTGCCTCCTTGGCCTCCTTTTCTATGACTGTCCCTCTGCACCCTGTGCCCAGCCAATTCCCCATACCTCAGTCACTCGGCATTCTGCCAGTTTCTAGAACACTTCAAGATTTTTCCTACCTGAATGGCCTTGCCTTGCTGTTTCCCAAGCCTGAAAAGCTGTTGCCTCATTTCTTCACCTAGTTTGCTCTTTCTCTCTTTTTAAAGATTTATTATTTTAAAGAAAGAGCGATCAGGGGGAGGAGCAGAGAGAGGAGGAGAGAAAATCCCAAGCACACTCCTCGCTGAGCACGGAGCCTGACATGGGGCTTGATCTCACAATCCTGAGATCATGACCTGAGTGGAAATCAAGTGTTGGACACTTAAACGAGGCGCCCAGGCGCCCCGATCTTTCTCCTCTTAAAGGCCCAGCTTATATGCTCCTTCCCCGTAGAAGCCTCTCATTATTCTCTATCACAGCACCATTCATATTTTGTGTAGCACTTACATTCTGTAATTATGTCCGTTTTTACCTATGATCTGTCCCTCACTCTAGAATGTATGCTCCGTATCTTTCTTTTCACTACTAATGAATTCCCATTACCTAAAAACACTGCCATAGAGTAGATGTTCAATAAACATTTACTGAAGTGGCTACTCATGTTTGATATGTGACTCAAGAGCCCAGGGGTGCGTAGACCATGCTGGGGAGTGAGTGTCATGAAGGTAGTCAGGAAGTCCCACACCGCACACACTAAACCAAGAAAGAATCCATGTGAAGTTATGGGCCGGCCACAACTAAATCCCTAGCACTCCAAGAAAGACATCAACAGCAGCTTGATGTTCAGGTGTTGGCCCACAACTGCTAAAGTGTTGCAAACACCAGCTCATAGGTAGAAAATCACCCATCTGAAAGAAATGAGACACCATGGGGATGTTACTACTTCAATACAAAATGAAAATGGAAAGTAGAACAGGTCCAAATAAGAGACCCCTAAAAACCTTAGTGGTCAAGCTGCCCCTCCATGTAAATCTTGCGGGCAGTTGTCATTCAGGGAAGGGAGCAGAGGAGAGATGCCCCACAGGACTTCCAGGAAAGCAGACAAGGCTACACTCCAATGCCTCACAACAACCGAACTGTACACTACTGAGAGAGGCTGGGCTATATGTGAAGCTGTATGTGGTTCAGAGATTTGAAGTAGACACAAATCTTGTTTTCCTTGAACCCTGTGCCATGAGAGAGCAGCAGGCACAGAGCCATGGGAGAAGGCAGTCTGCTGGAGCCCATGACAAGGGTCTCAGACTTCAGGCTTCTCTGATAGGTCCAGATGGGCAGATGTGGGTCTATGCCTTCCAGAATGGCCATACATGTCCCCTTGTGGCTTGTGGTTCTTAGACAAGCTACCCATAGATAAACATATACTAATCATATACAAGCTATTCTTAGATAACCATATAAAACCTGGAGGAGTTTGCAATTAGAATAAACTTTACCCAGTCTGTGCAGTCAATCCTGTTCTTGGAGCAGCCTCGAGGGAGCATGGGACTTTTGTGAGCACTTCAGCAGCAAGTGAACCCCTTCTGTGTTAGCCCAGCACCACCCCCACCCCCCACCGCTTATCCAGTAAATACACAAAGACCATCCTTCCTCTAAGGCTCATTTTTCTTGGCTCAGAGGCCCCAAAGGACTGACCTAACCTTTACAAAATTAATGGTAAAATAAAATTTGATGCCTGGATTTTAAAAGAGGATAAACACAACATTTATTGCTAAGAACCAAACTGATGTTCTGAGTGGGCAAAAGGAGGAAATATACAACACATGTCAAAAACATTTTTCAAAATGGAAACTATGCAGTGAGCACTAGGTGCAAATAATGAATCGTTGAATACTACAACAAAAACTTATGATGTACAATATGTTAACTGAACAGAATAAAAATAAATGAATAAATAAATAAAATACCAAAAAAGGGAAACTATAAACAAAAAAATCAAAAAGACTCAAAAGACAGATCCAGGAAGCCTCTCCTCCAAAATATTATTATATTCAGAAAGAAAGAAGTATCATAGAGAAGAAAGGCCATAATAAAAAAAAATGAAATAAAATTACCTGAAGTTACAGAAAAATTCCAAATGAAACTGAACATAGCCTCAAAAAGTTACTGAAATATTCCAAAGGTAAAGAGAAAGTCTTATAAACTTCCAGAAAAACAAAACCAAAAGCCCAGATCACTTATGGCAGTAATTGAACCAGACCAGTATCTGACTTACAAATTATACTCTCAACCAAAAGACAATGGAATGACTGTGGCCTCTTGAGAAAATTGAAGTTCCAAGAATTCTACACCCAGGCAAGATATCATTTAATCAAAAGAATGACATTTTGGGACAAGTAAGGATTCAACGTGTCGCCACTCTTGTAACCCATGTGAGGAAAAACATAGAAACTATTCTAACTGAATAAAAGTAAGTCAAAGCGTGGATCTAGTCATTTGGGAAAACAAGATAATGCATGAATAAGTGATAGTTAAACATAAATGGATGATACTGATGATATGACTGAAAATTTATATGCTTTAAGTCTTCTTTAAATAGGATAGGAAATTGTAAGGAAATCCCTAAGAAAAGCTTGATGCAGTAATTCCAAACTATCTGTGGAAGTAGGAAGTATGATATGGGATGGGAAATTAAAGATGATCTCTCAAGCTGGAGAAGGGCGGAATTATAAGGAAAAGACACTGGAAGCATAGGAAAGTGTAATTTTTATATATTAATAGAGAAATCCAAATTTAGCAATGCCCATGTGTGATTTTAAAAAGTTGCTAGTATAGTGAAAAATAGTATGATTTAAAAATTAACAGTGTAGGGGCGCCTGGGTGGCTCAGTGGTTTGAGGCATCTTGCCTTCCGCTCGGGTCATGATCCCTGGGTCCTGGGATGGAGCCCCGCATCGGGCTTTCTGCTCAGCGGAGAGCCTGCTTCCCCCCCCGCCCCCTCTGCCTGCCTCTCTGCCTGCTTGTGATCTCTGTCTGTCAAATAAATAAATAAAATCTTAAAAAAAAAATTAACAGTGTAAGGGGCACCTGGGTGGCTCAGTCCGTTAAGCATCCAGCTCTTGATTTTGGCTCAAGTCATGATCTCAGGTTTGTGGGATTGAGCCCCAAGTGGGGCTCTGCAGTAGCCCCACTGTCCCTCCCCCCACTCACGCTCTCTTTCTCTCTCTCTCTCTCTAAAAATAAATTAACAGTGTAAGAAAAAAAATGAAGAAAATTAGGAAAAGTAAGACTAAAAAGAACAACAAAGAATAAAAGACAATATGGAAATCATAAAACCAAGTATGTTAAGCATCATAATTATTGTATACTATCGACTAAATTCTTATATTAGTTATAATATAAAACCCCTACATAAGGTATTTCTAACAGCAAACTGAAAGAAATTTACAAAGAACGACTGGAAATTAAGGGAAGGCAAATGTATACCAAGAAAAAGTAAAGAAAAACAAAGCGTGAATGGCAACCTTAATATCAATTAAAATGTAACTCATGGCCAAAATTATTAATGAAGTCAAAGAGGAATAGTATGTAATGAGAGAAAAAAGTTAATCACTGAAAAAGCTCTCTATGAGTCAAAAACATTCATAAACAAGATAGCAGCTATATATATATATATATATATATTTATATATACAAACATAAATGTATACATAATATATAGTATATAAATATACATGAAACCCCAGAAATACAAGAAAATTAATGGAAACATTTTTACTGTGGGATGTTTTTAATATTATTCTTTCAGAATTTGACTGTTCAAATATACAATTAAAGCAAAGATATAAGGGATTTGAGAAATACAATAAACCATACTTTTTTTCTCTTCTTATATTCATGTAATACACAAATTACACACTTAGCATAAAAGGAAAACTTTGCTAAATTTCCCAAAACAAAGATTTTTTTTAAAAACTTTTATATAGAAAGTCGGGCGCCTGGGTGGCTCAGTTGGTTAAGAGACTGCCTTCAGCTCGGGTCATGATCCTGGATTCCCGGGATCGAGTCCCACATCGGGCTCCCAGCTCCATAGGGAGTCTGCTTCTCCCTCTGACCTTCTCCTCACTCATACTCTCTCTCTCACTGTCTCTCTCTCTCAAATAAATAAATAAAATATTAAAAAAATAATAAAAATAAAAACTTTTATATAGAAAGTCAACAATAAAAAGTTTTTAAAAAATCCTCTAATTTTTGGAAAACTAAAAAGCTTCTTCTACATTATTTCTAGGTCAGAGATATAATCAAAATTGAAACCATAAAGTAAATACCCAGAAAAGAAAAGGAAAAAAATTATAGCAAAACCTATTGGATACATTGGTGGGGGGAGGATTTATAGCCTTAAATGATTTTACTGTTTAAGAACAAAGTAAAACAAAACAAAATTACGTAAATCCATGAATGTATTATTTGGAACAAATTAGATCTTATTTTTTTCCATTATTGAGAAAATGATCCAGTTTTTTTAATTGATTTTCAATTTTTTTCATTTGAACTGTTTCCTTTATTTTTCTGTCCCATGCCAAAGTCACAGTGAGAGCGGAGAAAGCGATCGAGAATTTGTCTGTCTGAAAATTAAAGAAAAATAAAATGAAGTTTTCCATTTAACTATTAAGTGCTAAATAGAGAATTCTAGCAAAGAGGCAAGTATTGTATAAAAGTAATCTATAGACAAATTGGATAAGACCAAAATAATCAAAGGGTATATGTCTAACACCTAAAAAGTCACAAGTGTATAATTATTGATTAAAAAAGAGTAAACTTAATATTTTAAGGATTAGCAAGTCTTCCTGGAAAAAGTATGGTGTTTTGAGTGAAGCGGATGTGGGTTTCTTTTCTGTCCTGGGGAGCATTAGCAAATCATGTGACCTCTCCATTCCTTCATTTCCTCATCTTTGAATACATAAATAGGACTCACCTTGTATAGTTGTTGGACTAGATTAGGAATGCTGTGTATGAAACACCTAGGCAGGGCCTGGTCTGCCTTACCCTTTATGACCAAGAACATAGTAATAAATAGTCATGACAAAAAAAAAAAAAAATACAGGCTATGGTTCCCAGAGTTTCCTCGAAGCTGGGGCTGTTTTTCTACCCACCAACTGTTAGTGTGCCTTGCTATCTTTGACTGACAACTGACCATGAGAGGGCCCTTCAATTCCCCGGCCTCCACATCCTCATCTCGAAAGTTAAAGGAATCTTGTCCTATTCTGAACGGCTATAGTTCCCTAATTCTCATTCCGTATTTCCATATATGTGTGTGTGTGTGTGTGTGTGTGTGTGTGTGGTCCTGGCTTACTCTCCAATTCTTCCTGGTTCTTTGTTTTTGTGACCTGACATCCCCACGTTGCTCCATATCTTTTTTGACCTCAGCATTGTCTTAAATTGAGGGATACTTTTCACAAAGTGAAACACGCTGGTCCTTCATGAGCAGTTTGATGAGTTGATACCCGCGTGCATGTAACTCGTACCCATATAATAAGAGCACTGCCACTGCTCCAAAAAGAACTGTCATGCCACCCCAAGACAAACTGTTCCGATTTCGTTTATCACAGAGCAGTGCTGCCTGTTGTTGGAGCCCTTTGAATAAAAGCAGTCACACAAAACGTAAGATCTGTGTCTGGCTTCTTTCACCCAGCATCATGTTTTCGGAGCTCATGTTGTTGACTACAATGATAACTGATTCTTTTTTTTTTTTTTTTAATTACCTAGCAGTTTTTCATTTTGTGCATATAACAGTTTTTCACAGCCTGCTGTTGGTGGAAATGTGTGTCGTATCCAGTTTGGAACTATTAAGAAAACAGTGGCTGCGGACATTTTTGTAGAAGTCCTTCAGGGGACACATGTTTTCTTTTCTCTTGGGTAAATACTCAAAAATAGAATTTCTGGGTCTTGGGGTAGATATAGGTTTAACTCTATGGGAAACTGCCAGATCTGTTACGAATATTACACGGACGCTACTATTTGTCATGCCTACCAGCAACAGATCTCTCTGTACTCTCAACATTTGCTGGTTTCGGTCCTTGTCATTTTAAGCCTAAAAGGTCTCTATGTTAAATCTTATACCAAAGAGTTAATTTTAAATAAGCAAGCAAATGAATAAACACAAATCCTTCTTATGTCAAAGATAAGCATATAAGATGAATCAAGTTCAGCATGAATGAATAAAAAAGATGAGATGGTATCAAATTTAAAATCAACTTAAACAACTGTTCAAAAAGGCTATCAGTTGCAATTCAAATGTTACCTGTATTTATTATGTACAGATGCAGATTCATGTCTCCATGTTTTTATTTATGCTGTTCCCTCTGCTCCCTCTGAATGGCCCTGCTTCTCCTTGTCATGCTGATCCGCCCTTGACCCTTAAAAGAGGCCTCTTCAGAGCAGCCTTCCCTAATGCTCTTTCAGCCCACAGGGGCGGGGGTGTACCCCTTGCAGACTTCTAATACACCCATAGACTACTTCGATTACAGAGCTTATCACATTACACCTGTGTGTCTGTCTCCCACCCCTGATGGTGAGTTCTTTGAAAGGGAGGATTTGTTTTTTATTTATCTTTGTATCAAGTGATTTATTCAGTCAATGAAATTCCTCCAGTCAGTGGATATATTCCGAACAATACTGAATCACACCCTAGGAAGAAATTCCCATTTGGATAGCCATATGCATGGGAGTTTTGACTGGAAGAGATGGGGAGGGAGTGATAGCTGGAAGACTCTGAAAACAAGATTTCAGATAATTTTGTCTTTTAAAGGAAGGGGTGGGGAATAAGTAGGGAGATGACAGTCTTTACTAATAAATAACGGAGGCGCAAAGGGTAAGCCTTTGGGTGGTCTGAATCACTCGGAGATTAAGACGATTCTGAAAACAGAATGGCCACTAAAGACAGTTAGTTCAAATCTCTCAAGTTGTCATAGAGAACGTAATACCAGATAGCGATACACAGGATTACTGGAAACAACAGGTTTGCCTTCAGCTGCTCCTCCTTTCTTACTTCCCCAGCTTCATCTTGTCTTCCTGGAATCTTCTCTATCCCACCATCTCCCTTGCCCCCTGTCTTGGGCCATGATGGGCATCCTTTCCCTTCCCCTCTCTTTCAAAATGTACCTGTTCTGGGCCCCAATACTCTCTAAGAGGGAGAATCCAGCAAAGTACTTTAAGCAAGGTGGTAATAATTCATTCAGCCTAGTATAGCTGCCAAGTTTTTTATTCTCTTGCATACTGGCTCAGCCCTACCATGTAGGAGCTCTGCTGAGACACTCACCGTCCGAAAAGCATTAGCGTCATCCCAGACACTAATGACAATTAAATGACTAGAAAATGACAAGAGTTTGGGGTCATAATAATTCAAAGGGAACCTCCTACTTGCTTGTCAGCCTCTAGCATAGCTGGCTGAGGAGTAGGTCATTCGAAAGCAAAACTAGGAAAGAGAAACTAAAACCCGTAGATCCTATAAAGGCCCTAGTCTGCGGAAAATGGCAAGGCTCTGAGGCCTGAGCATCCAGGTACCTGCCCCCAGTGCCATCCTGAGGGCCCCAGGACAGCAGGATACCTGAAAAGCAACCAAGGCCTAGATTGGCCCTAAAGCTACCTTGTTAGGTAATAGATCATATCTCACTTGTTTGGGGAGAAAACCCAACTGGAAGAGTCCAACTGAATCAGCTTATGCTAGGAATCTTGGAGAAGGTAGATCCAAGTAGAACAGAGGCTGTCAAAGTACCTGCGGCGTCCTTGGTTCACCCTCGGGGGGCACCACCAAGGCTGGATTACAAATCACACACACACAACCAAGGACAGAGGTGCCAGCAGCCACCTGGTTTTTCCACGCAGGCAGAGAAGCCTCAATTCCACCTGCATTTCAAGTCCCTGGGCAGTTGGAAGCCTCCATCTGCTTTGGGTGGACTCATCTGTTTGGGGTCAAACAGATGTGGCTCCAGAGGTGAAAGGGGTCCATTACAGAATGCGGACTACGGTTTTATACATAGGAACCCAAGCTGGGAAAAACAGTGGAAAGCAGGCTGGGGCTTGATGGGGAGCTTCTGTTCTGCCTCCCTGCAAGATCTGAGCAGCTGACCTCAAGGAGCCTCTTGTTTCCTTCTGAGGGGTCAAACTGGCCCAGAAGCATCTGCTGAGAGGAACCAGGCTCCTGATGGCAAACACAGGCTTCTGCTTGTGCGTTAGAGTGAGGCAAAACACCTGCTTCTAGTACTTCTTGAAACCCAAAATTTGAGTTCTTTTAATGGCCTTTGGGCCATCAACCCTCAGTCTGCAATCATGCAAGGTATCCTCTTCCCCTCCTTACACACACATACACACCCATGCACACCCCCTCACCAGACTTGCCTACAGTAAGGTTTCAGTTTTGTGTGGGGCACAAGATCCTAGCATTAAAGGGTTTCAGAGAGGATTTCAGAAGACCAAACTCTTTTTATTGTAGCTGGGGACAGGCAAAGGACAGAGATTGGGGATCCAAGACAGCTAGGAGGCAGGGAGCAGTTGGAGTTAATGAAGACCTGGTGGACATTCCAAGTCAAGCCTGACCACAGGGCACAAAACAAGGCAGTGGCTGCCACATAGCCTGAAATACCAAGTGGCAGGTTGAAGGTGGTCCGTGGCATGTGGGAAGAAATATTAGAACCTGTATTTATATTCTACATATTTATGTTCTATAACATTATATTATAATGCTTTTTACTTCCTTCTTCAGCATTTAATATGTTTTATAACTTACATAATACACTAGTTTAGTGGGGTATGAATATTCTTTATAGAAATAAATATGTCTGCACAGGGGCATATGCTCAAAAATGGGGAATAACAGCAAGAGTGATCACCAGCAGTGGATCCTGAGGGCAGCTGGTAGACTAGTTTCGTCTCCTCTCCTCCACTCCTATTCTCTGAGTTGACATTTAACACATGCACAGGCTGACCAGCCATCCTTGAGATGCTCCCAAGCAGATTATTCCAGTCCCCAGGCCCAGAGCTGGGATAAGTCTTCGTAATACAACTAACACTGCCCTGAGAATGGCCTTTGCCCTTTTGGAGGATGTTCTACATGTTCTACAGGGATTCTCATGTACCCTAAAAAGCCTATCACCAAAAGTACCATCAAACAGGCAATAAAGATTATGTAAGATAAAACAAAACTGTGAGACAGCACAAATACCCGCAGAAGAAATCACTTCACTGTAATAAAACCAGAGATCATCCTGGAGAAATGCAACCATGAAGCTGAAGGAACGAAATGAGTGAGATCAGAGAGGAGCGAAAGGCTAGATGTTTCTTTTTTAATAAGGGGGGCTACAGTCCCTGGGGCCTCTTTTAAGACAAATTTATTTTCAGTGGGTTGAGGTTTACACAGAACTATGGGATTTCTTTGAGGCAGTGTTTATCTTCTTGTGGACATTTAGCTCCAGTGGCTAAACATTGGAACGATTTCTATTTGGCATGAAAAGCAACGTATTACTATCTGTAAATTTATTCAATAGTAACTTGAGACCTCCTCCCATCTTTTTAAGACCTCCTACCTTTGTAAGAAACACCCTGAAGGTACTCTGTGATTTGAGAGGGAGTAAATGAGTCTAAAATCGTTAAGAAATCCAGATGGGATTTTCCGTAATCGCTTTGGTATATAGTCTGCTTCTTTGTGCGTTCTTGATTCCTCAGGTGGCTATGCAGCACAGCAGGAACTAGGGGGACACAGGGGAAGGAAAGACACGGAGGCTGTCACTGAGCAAAGAATTCCCGCCCTTATTTGTCAAACACACCCCCAACAGCCCCGAGCCCCACTTGGAGTTTAGTCAGCATCCTTGAGGTACTGGAAAGCGAGCCACAGTAGAAGACACTCCTCCCATGATTCAGGCTATGCAGAGCTGCTGGGACTTAGGACGGTGGATGCTAGCAGTGGGGGTGACTGGGGCTGATGGCCAGAGATGCAATTGTGACTACCATTCTCAGAAAAGTTCTCCCTGAGCTCAACTCTTCTGCAGGTCAGCCTGGTGAGATGGTAACATTCACCAGCTCCTTAGTAAACAAATGCCTTCATAGAAGCTAATTTCCCTTTCGTGCCATCTCCTGAGCAGACTGGGTGACACCTTAAGAGGAGTCCCTCAGTGACCCAGGTGTGTGCAGATGAGCAGTGAAAATATGTCCAGCCAGCACTCATTGCACATTTAGACTAATAATTCAGACTGATGTATCATGTGCAAGCAAAATCAAAATCATTTGTTTGAATCTGAGTATTGTTCATTTAATGTGGGTTCTGATAGTCATGGAATTATTGGGGCAAAAAATTGGTGGGTGGCTCAGTGGGTTAAGCCTCTGCCTTTGGCTCAGGTCATGATCTCAGGGACCTGGTCTCATCCCCCACATCCAGCTCTCTGCTTAGCGGGAAGCCTGCTTTCCCCTCTGCCTCTCTGCCTACTTGTGATCTGCCTGTCAAATAAATAAATAAAATCTTTAAAAAAAAAAAAAAGCAATGAAAACGTGATGGAAGACCCTAATTTCTACAACATGCCCAACCTTTGTAAATCTTAAGGACACCTTAAATACTGCTTTTGATCCTATATGTCCCTTTTACAAGGACCGCCAGCTGGTAGGAGGAAGTAGAACCAAAGCCAAAGCCAAAGTTTAAGCAAGGGAGGTTCCAGCTGTTGAGAACTTTCCAACAGTATCCAAAAAAGAAAGCGTTGTCTTGGGGGGTGGGGCACTCCCCCCGAAAGTGATGACATCACCCCTTGGCAAGGACGGGATAAAGGGGATTCCCATATGGTGTGAGGATCTAGATGAGGTGATTTCTAGGCTGTCTTCTAACCTCAAGATGCTAAGCTTCTATCCCTGTGATTTTTGTCTACAGCACTACTTGGTTCCAACTCCATGCCAGGAATAGATCACTATCTCAGACTGACACCAAATTATACATTTAACCAGTAGCTTTGAGATGGCTTGGCCATGGGACTTTTAAAAACCTCTGTTGAAAACAGTAGGAATCAGGATCATTAGAATGGTTGTCAAATCTGAAGATATTTGATAGATGTACCATGTGGTTAAACCTCCAGTGGATAACTGACAAATCTAATTTGAATCCTACCCAGTCTCTTCTTTGGTAATTTTATAACAACTGGAGCCTTCCTTTTGTTTTCCAATTCCAACAACGGCTTTTCCCCCGCCCGCCGCCTCCCCACCACAAGGCAGAGCATATATTCATTTCATAGCATACACAATCAGTTCTTTTCCAAGACTTACTCATTCTTTGGGTTTGAAGCTAGACAGAGTTTTGATTCTTTGCAGGGATGCAGAGATAACTGGCATTCTTCCTAACTATTACCAGGATTACCTGCCAGGGCCCTGCGTGCCAAAGAATCTTGGAACAAGAACAGAATCTCTGAAGTTGCTTTCAAAGCTACAGGTGTACTTACTTACCTAGACCCTGAGAAGAAACTGGTAGGCTTGAGTAGCATCCATATTTGAAACTAAAATCCTGCAACTCGGGAATTTTAGCTGGAACTTGGTAATTCCGTCGAAATTCAGTGTCTGCGGGTCGGGGAAGTAAATTTTTCCATTCCAGAGACATCGGAGAACTTTCCTTAATCTTCTGAGCTGGGGCGGGGTTACAAGTGTAGAAGTCCTTGTAAGCTATTTAAAATAAGAGTCCTATTTTCCCATTTTGCTTCTGGCAGTACCTTCCAACTGGTCACACTAAACCTGCTCTTCTTGTATTTAGAGGTACAATCAATGTAGTTTTTATGGATCTTTCAACCAAGAAATAATTTTCTGCTTTATCAGGCACAGGAAGTGTATGATCCAATGATCAGAAGCAGCTTCTAATGAAGATACTGTAGGTCAGTTAGGAGTGCTCTTTTGTTCTGCTAGGGGGACACAGAAGGCATTCCTCATTCCAGTAGGCCTGCCTAGTCCTGGGACAGGTGTGGGGAGCAGAGTGAGAGAGTTTAGGTAAGGCTAGGGTTGACATATAAGACATAGGATGCCAGTTAAATTGAATTTCAGATAAATAATGAAAAATTTCTTGGCATAAGTGTGTTCATGCGCTCATTGTTTATCTACTATATATAATCATTCAAATGTAACAGGTCATCCTTTACTTTTATTGGTTAGATCTCACAGCACTCTAGATGAGGCAATGCATATCATTCGCATTATCTGGAAAACCACCACTTGAAGCTTACCCCTTATTGCTGGAGGACTAGGTAATGTTGCTGTCATCGATGGGCAATTGTACTATTAGTTCTTTGAAACAACTCCACTAACAACTATTCATTAAATATCTAGAAAGCACTGACTAAATGCCAGGTTCCACAAGCACTGCCGGATTATTAGAGGAGTTGCAAGACAAGTCCCTTAGAGTGAGTTCATCCCTAATTCTTGCTATAGTGTTGGTTCAGAAGCACATCTTATAACACCAACTTTATTCAGGACAAAAGTGTTAAAAATATGGGTATCAAACACAATATCCAAATAGCGCCAATTACTATCGAAACTAAACTTGAATCTTGTTCTGAACTCATTTTTCGATAGGTCTTTTCAAAATAAATTCAAATGTACATCAAACAATATATGATGTTATCTACTGGCATCCAAGAGCGTTTTACTATTGATTTTTTTAAAAATTATCTCTGTCTAGACCAGAACAGGGAGAGAAAGTTTCACTGCATGCTGTCTCTTCATTTAGATGAGCCAGGAAAAGAGGACGTGATACTCAATGGGCCTCATAATGACCTCATACACTCCCCAAGGAGAAGACAAGGTTATATAGAAGAGGCAACTCTAGGACTTAATATTGGGACATCTCAAGATATTTTGAAAAATCATCTGGCATTGTTCTTGGCAAGCACAATCTGTAACTTGGTTTTTGTAAATTACTAAGAGTTTTATAAGAGAAAAACACATTCCCATTGAAATGCTTGATACATACGCTTATCCCTCTTCCCTAGAGCTACCACTTAATAGCAAAATGTTTTCAGTTCCTGTATGTATTCTGTGCCAAAATTAAAAATTTAGTCAATGTTCTACCTTGAGACAACCTCAAACTAGTGTGATTAGAAAGATATATACAGGAAAAACAGATATGGAATGTGATGTCTTAAACCTAACACTTGGAACCATGGTTCTCACACAGAGATCATATATCCGACTTACCCAAGAAGGTTTTTCCAAAACACACTTCCTGAACCTCATCCCAGACATTGAGAAGCTCTAGAAGTGGGGACCCAGACACTTACACTGTGAACAAGCTCCCCATATGCTTAAGAATCACTCCCTCGGAGCCTTCAGTAGGTGCTACAGAAGGCCAGAGAGAATACAAAGAGTTCTGCTAGGGGAGGGAAGGAAGACATGAATTAAAAGGCAAACACGGCAAAGATGAGCTTTGATGACATGTCAACACTGAAGCAGAAGGAGAAGCAGAAGGTACGCAGTGTGTTTGTGAAGTATGGTCTGGCTGGTAAGAGGATAAGGTATGCAGGGCAGGGAGAAGTAGCTGAGGCGAAGGAGGAGAGGTGAGGGTCAGTTTGCAAAGGGTCTTGAGGGGCTGGTCTACATTGTTAGGTCCATGGTCAAAGGAACGAGACTGATACAAAGCGAAGGTCAAGCAAAGCTTTATTTTGCGCCAAGCATGGAGAATCAAACTGACTGGCCAGTGCCGTCTCCTGCAAAGAGGCGACCTCTCTCTACCTTATAGACTAACTTTTAAGGGCAATGGCCATGTGGTTGGGCCTGGCCACGCACAGGTGGCCAATGAGATTGTAACACAGAGAAAGCTGCACAGTCCTGCTAGGTCACACATAAGTGACCAATTGAATTACAATTTACCCAATAGTAGATATTTGAACTAGCCTATCACCTTGGTCAGAATTGGCGCCCAAAAGGCACCCAAAGGGTGGGGCCCATACTCTTTGGTAGCTAGGGAGACAGTATGCACCCCCATCGATTGGATACCTCCACTTAGCCTGACCCACCCTTGTATTTGGGCTTTGTTACCTGGGACTGGTTTCCGGGACTTGTTTTTAAGTAAGTTCCCGGGGGGGGGGGGGGGGTGGGGGGGGCAGGGTCAGGATGGAGCTGCTCTGGCTAAATAGGTCCTTACAACATACACCACGATGAACCAGCATAGTGGAGCCCCTGGAGATGAGGACCCAGAAAAGACAAAACTCAGATCTAGATTCCCTGAGTTCCTTTGAAGATAAAGTTAAGTCTTACTCTTCATTGATACCTTAGCACTTAATAAAGTAACAGACCTCACTAAATGTTTATTAATGAGGGAATGAAAGAAAAAAGAACAGAAACAACCTGAACCACACTCTAGTGACTATGTGATATAAGCTTACAGTAATCTTTAGTTCTTCTCAATTAATGCTTTTATTGCCTTTTTAAAATTTCATGTTAATGAGTTCCTTCAGCATTATTAAGAAAAGAAGTTCTTGATACAAAGGATCCCACCAACCCCTGAAGTCCCCATAGTGGTATTGAAGTTTGGACGGACAGGATAACCATGACTCACAGCTAACCAGACCCAATGCTAACTGCACCTCCAAGGCCCAGACCCCTCCCAGGGAGCCATCCCTGTTCCTCAGGAGCTCAGCTCCCGTTGTTTCTTTTTCTCTTGGTAACAGTGATATTACACTAATGTAGCTATAGCCCAAAGAGGGAAACTGGCCCATTGGAGATTATTATGGCATTTGCAGAAAGGCCCAATTCAAAAGAACATCTACAGCAAAGACTACTCAAAACCAGTGGGACCACTGGCACATAATCTATATAGCCAAGTGAGAACTAGTTCTACTATCTCTGCCTGCTGTTCCAATTCATCAAAGCCAAGTTCTCCAAGCCTGAATCTGAAAACAAGCACCCTTTAGTGCTTCCCATTCATTTGCTTAATTCCATAATGAGGATACAAAGATAAGATATGGTCCCTATGTTCCAGACACTTAAAGCATTAGAGAAACAGATACCAAAAAAAAAAAAAAAGAAAGAAAGAAAAGAAAAGAAAATTACAATATTCGGTGATAAACCCTGCAAAAGAGATAAGATCTATAAAAACATATAGGAGGGCCACCAATCCAAACTTGGAGGATCAGAGAATATTCCCAGGAGAGAAACGAAGCCTATATTTAGACTTAACTTACGGACATAGGCTAAAAGAAGAGAGGGACAGGTGTTCCACAGGAAGGAAGCAGTGTGTGCAAAAAGCATAAGGCTGCTGGGGGCATGGTGAGTCTGGAGAAAGGAGGGCAGTCAGTCTCGCAGGGAGAGTGGGGGTTGTCGAGGTTGAGAATGCTGGCATGGCAGGCAGGGACCAGATTGTACAGACTCACATTAAAGCATTTAGCTCTTATCCTGAGGACAATGTGGAGTCAATGAAGGGTTCTCAACTGGAAGGTGATATCAATTTGCACATCTGGAAACTCACTATGGCTATAGGATGGGCTATGAATTGGAGGCAACGAAACTGGAAAGGGAGCTGGATTAGAGGTCATCCAAGGAGGAGACACGGATAGCAGTAGCTTTGGGGAGGAAGAGAAGCAGATGGAGCTGAGAGATTTAGTAGAGACTCTTGGCAGGTCTTGGGTATTTATCTACACATGGGGAAATGATAATTTGCACACTCTGAAAGGACTTTGATTAGAAGCTCAAAGACATCTTTTAAGAATGCTGACATTTCAAATGTCTTCCCATCACCCTTAATGTTTATCTGAAGTATGGAGGTCTTTTGATTCTATACTCATCTAACTTCAAAAAGTGCACTTCCAATATATTTTTTTTCCATCATTCAGCAAATATTTGCAAAGCATCTCCTATACACCAGGACTGGACTGTATATATTGCACTAGATTCTGAGTGAATAAAGGCCTTTGGGGCACCCGTTGAATAGTGGAGGAAAGAGCAAAACAAAAACAACAAAAAAATAAGAATCATAAACAAATGACTGCAAAGTATAAGGAGCTAGAAGGTAACAAATGAAGGGGTGGCACACCTCCTCAGATAAAATAGTAAGGAAATATCTCACAGGCAAGGTGACATTTAAGCTGGCATCTATAGAATGACACAGTAAAATCACAGAAGGAGCTAGAAGAAGAACAATGCAGGCAAAGGGGGCAGTCTGCACACTGGCTGAAGGTGGGGGGGGGGGCGGAAATGGCATCTTATAGTTTAAGATGAGACTGAATGAGACTCCATGAGACTGGAGTCTGGTGAATGAGGAAAATGGAGTGAGAAAGAACAGTGAAGAGGGAAGCAAAGTCCAGGCCAGCCTCGTATGACAGAATGAACAGAAAGAAGGAAATGAAAGTTGGATTTTATTCAAAGTGCAATGCAAAGCCAGTGAAATAAAGCAACAGGATAATATGATCCAATTTAGATTCATAAAAGATCATCTATATTATATTTTACTCCTCCTTCCCCAAAGTTCACCAGAATGATAGATTAGAGATCAACACATTTTTAGAAGATGTAAGTCAAATACAGATGTGTTGAATTAATTAGCAAATAAGAGAAAGCTAAAACTAAGTGACTGCCGAAGAGTATAACGAAACAGTGAGCTCAGCCACACTACAGAGCCCCAACAGGTTTCTGTAACAGGTGCAGGGGAAGGCAGATACTGCAGCTCAGGCTGAAAACAAGAGTCCTGGTGAAGGTTTACCTACGGAGTGAATAGAGTTCCTGCATCATCTTCTTAACTTCATGAGTCATTTGACTGTCCTTTCCTAACCAGAAGTTTATTAGGTGCAAAACTGAACCAAAGAAGCTTGGGATGCCACAACATCAGGCACAGTGGGAGGTGGGTATAGTGGGATGCTGAAAAGGAAAAAGAAGGGTCCGGTGAGAATCTGCACAGCAAGCAAAAAGATCCCAGTTACTTCCCTAATCCTACTCTCAGAATGCCAACAGCCAAGTGTTTGTCTTCCTGGAGAAACTGACCTAAAATTCAGGCATTTGCAGGTTTCCCAACAAAAAGCTTATCACCTAACCACCTAAAACAAGCACCAGCTAACAAACACCATCTCTGTATATAGCTTCCAATCAGATTTGAGTATCTCCCTTGTAGGTTTGGTGAACCTTAGAGATTAATATTTTCCATATACTCACATCAAGAAACAGAAGTGTCCACAGAATTGAGACAAGTTTTATAAGCATCATAGTAAATCTGCCTCTGCTCTCTTGTAAATTTGAAAAGATCAGATTTTCATTAGACCATTAAAACATTCAGATAAAATAGAGACAAAGCAAGGAATAGATGAAAATGTTGAAAATTAAGTATATCATAAATATCCTAAAATTTGTAAGAATTACTACATATATAAAACAAAAATAGAATGCTGTTTAAAAAAATAATCATGTTGAGGGCAGGGGTCTATATATTGCAGTAAATATCCTTATTAATTTTATTCATCGAACAAAAAAATTAGCAAGAAGGAGAATAAGAGATTGGACACTAAAAATTCAACAGAAGAATTACATTAAAAGGTAAAGAATTTTTCAAGTTAGCAGAAGAAAAATGCAAAGAGAAAGATACTAGGAGAGAAAAGGTAAGAAAATTGGAGGATCAATCCAACAAATAAGAGTCCCAGAAGAGAACAGGAAAAAGAGATGGGAAAAAAGTAGGAAGGAACTATGCAGGAAACAATGCCCAGAATTGAAGGATATGACTATAGCTTCTAGACCCCCTGAATGCCCAACATAATCATTGGCAAAAGATTATTACTAGTGCATACAGTTGTGAAATTTAAATGTCAGGAATAAAGAAAGGATCTTATGCGCTTTTAGAAAAAAAAAAAATACAACAGGGTCAGGAATCAAAACGGCATCAGTCTTCTACAAAAGAAATCCTGGATGCTAGAAAACATTTGGAGGAATGGATTCTTAGGGAAAGTGATTAACATCCTAGAATTTTATATCCAGCCAAACTATCAGACAAATATAAGGAAGAGAAAAGGATATTTCCAAATTGGGAAGCACACACTCAAAAAAGTTCCTCCCATGCACTCTTTCTTAGGAAACTACTAGAAGATGTGGTTCACCAAAACCAGGGAAGAGGGATAAGAATGAAGAAGAGGAAACAAGATCCAATGCAGGCAGAGGCCAAAGCAATTCCCAGAATGATGAAAAAGGAAGTCCCAGGGCACATTTGGTGAGCAAACCCACAAAACAACCAGTCTAGGTTAGAGGAAAATGATGAAGGGTGTCAGAAAGATGACCTGTAGGAAAACAACTGGAAGTGGTAGAATGTTTGAAACTGTGTTTGGAAAAAATCCTGGTAAGTATGTGACAAAGTATTTGGAAAAAAGTAGTGACAGGAACATAGAAGACTAAGCATATAAAAAAAAAAAGTCAATTATTAACTCTGGTAAAAAAAACAAAATTAAAAAAAAAGAAAATGTAAAGGAAAGGAAACAATCATAAAGTACCACCTGGCTCAGTGGTGAATGATTACATAATCATATCTTCATATCATCATAATATAAATATTAGCAATGAATTAAGCAAGAATTTGTAATATAATTTTTGAGAGAATGGATGGAAGGGGTGTGAGAAAGAGTTACAGGAGAGCCAAATCCTTAACCACCATAACAGGAAGTCAATAATAATAATGTCTAAAATTGATGAATCAAAAATAGCAGTATAGGGGTGCCTGGGTGGCTCAGGTGTTAGCATCTGCCTTTGGCTTGGGTCATGATCCCAGAGTCCTGGGATCAAGCCCTGCTTCAGGTTCCCCGCTCAGCTGGAAGCCTGCCTCTCCCTCTTCCACTCCCCCTGCTTGTGTTTCCTCTCTTGCTATGTCTCTGTCAAATAAATAAATAAAATCTTAAAAAGAAAATAGCAGTATATGCATAAAATTTTAAAATATAGAGGATTACATAAGAAACAGTTAAAAGGATTGAACTGATTATCAATGGGGTCAAAGAACGGCTGTTATTTTGTAATAAGCCCTTATGCTACAATTTGATTTCACTGTATACATGCATTAGTTTAATAGAAGTACGTTTCAATTTTTAAAAAATAACAATAACTGGAAACAGCATGTTTCACTTGACCACTTCATCTTCTCCAGGTTCTTCCATCCTTGTTTTTCAGGCCCAGGAAGGCTGTCCCTTTAGGCTACATGTCCTATTGTGTGTGCCCACAGCATTTTCCACATGGTGCACCTTTTCATACTTGACTGTCTTTGTTTACCAAATTGCCTTTTTCTGTGTCTATATTGTGAGTTCCTTGAGAGAAGACACCGCATCTGGGGTGTTCACCACAGCAACTCCAGTGCACATCACGTAACCAGGAAAAGGAGAAAAATGAACACGTTTACCTTTTGCTTTGTCCACAAAATCTCTTCTAGTATTGGTAACAAACTGATTTGATATTGCCTTCCTAACCTCTTCCTCTGTAGCAGCTATTTTCCAAGGGAGATAGCTCTTTATTGATGCTGCTGGTTGACCTTGAGGTAGTGTCCAGGGAAAGACGTCCTATGAATACAAACACAGTTTTTAAGAAAATCCATATGGGTTCCCCTAATTGAATGAAGACTCTGAATATCTGTGTGTACATATTCCTCTGGGTCCTTTATACCCCGCTACCACACTGCATTGTTTGCAGGAGCCTGTCAACAGGAACCAACAATTTACACAGCTGTAACACAGGTACTTTGTAATTTCTTTGACTTTTTCATATTGAGACAAGAAAAAGTGACTGCAAAGTCCAAAGAGTTGTACTTGCAACCAAAAATCTCCAGCCAAGACCAGAGGAGAAGACCCATGCTAGCTTTGGCTCTAAGTGCCCAAGCAGATAGCTGCTGCCTCCCCTCAGAGCCCCAAGTTTCGAGACACACCCAGCCTCCCATGGAGAGGCCTCAGAATGAGCATGTAGGAGGGCAGAGGGCAGGCTCTCTCTTTGTCTTTGTCTGCAAAGAAGTTTTATGATTATGAAACTTGAAACCTCCAGCACCTCTTTCCATATTCCCACTCTCTCATAACCTTGCTTCCTACTTCCCTGAGAAAACTGAAGTCCTCTGATGAGAACCTCCACACGCAGCCCATCACACCACCCAGCTACCACATCTGCACTCACTTATGCTGTGATGGGAATGGAGCAGCAGGTGCTTTTAGCAGGGCCCACTGTGTCTGGTACACCACAGTCCACTGCGTTTAGCCCAAGATGGCCCATGACCCCCAAAATTCTCACTCCTCTCTTGCAACTTCCATTTCTCCCTCTCTTTGGGGTCATGGTTGCCAATATCCAAGCTTGCTTTTATTTCTCTTAGAAAGGAAAACTCTCTCTTCACCCTACCTTCCCTTCTAGTTATTAAGGTGTTACTCAGTCTGCCTTTTACTGAAATTTCTCCCAAATAGTTACATATATTCCCTGTCCCCAAAATGTGTCTTTGAAGTGTCTTAATCTTCAGGGTCCCTCTCCGTTCCCTTCTTTCCCTTATAATCTATTGAAGAAAAAATGCCATTTGACGTGAAGAGGTTCCCACACTCCGGATTGTGTGGAATGCATACACATTATGCAGGTTAACAAGTTCCTCTGTTCCCTGTATTTCCTGTAATTGACAGCTAGATCCAGACTGACTTACACGTGGGATAAATCCCTTTGGCAAGACTGTATGTGGCAAGAAGGACTATAAACTACAGCTGTTTCTCTTTGTGTGATGTTAGCAGCTATTGATGCTTAATGCCTAGATTAATGGATACAAAGGGGTGATATTCCATCATTTCTTTTTCATTTATTAGCTAGAATATGCTTATAAAGAGACATTTTCCCTCATCTACATTTAGCTTACCAGTGGCATAGTTCATATAGATAAGGCAGAAAGAAAAGCTTGATCTTTTCCCCTTTGTCAGTTTTTAAGATAATGAATTGGTTTTTATCATCCTCTGAAAGTGTCACCAGTTTTTGTGTGTGTGTGTGTGTGTGTGTGTGTGTGTTTACAGAACTCACAGATCTAAGCATATTTGATGTGTTTCAATCTATTGCATATATTATCTTTATAGAAGCTCAAATCATTTTTGGCCTGTAGGTACTTCTTTAATTTTAATATAACTCTAGTAGTTTTTTATGTTTTTTTTTTTTTTTTTTGCTATGTGGCATGACAAGATGTTCCAGACTCATCTTGCACATTTCCCACCCCAAATCTAGACTCAGCCAGTTCCCCAAGAAGCTTTCCATCTCACACTAACCAAGCATTCTTCCACCACAACTGCTGTTGTCAAGGCAACCAAAGAACTCCATTCTGCTAAAATCAATGGCCAACTCTATCCTCATCTTCTTTGACCTGCCAGCATCATTTCACACAATGGTCAGTCCTTCATTTTGTTCACTTGGCTTCTAGTACAACACACTCTGTTGGGTTTTCTCCTTCACAACTGGCTGCCTCTTCTTCAGTCCCTTTCGCTACTTCTTTCACTGGCCTCTGAAAAGTGAAGCGCTCCAAGGTTTGGTCCTTGAACCTCTTCTCTTTTCTAGCTTAATGATCTCATCCAGTCTCATTTTATTTCACATACAGAGACTCTTACTTATCTACACCTTAGACCTCTCCTTCAACTCAGATCCCTATATCAACGTCCTCCTATAGATGTGCTTTTGGAAGCTTAGATACCTCTAACTCCACATTCCCATGCCTGAACCCCTGAGCATGCCCCTCAGTCTTGAATATTCTACATTTCAGTTAATGATCCCTCCAACCTTGCCTCTCTTTAGACCTAAATCCCTAGAGTCATTCTTGGTCCATCTCTTTGCTTCCCATTCCACATTCTTTACATCAGAAAACCTTGTTTGCCTATGAAATATATTTAGAATTTAATCATTGCTCCCAACCACTCCTAACACCCTAGTCTGACTGAGCCATCAGCATTTATCTCCTGGATTATTGCAATTGCCTCCTAGCCAGTATCTCGGCTTCCACATCTACTCTCTGATAGTCTACTCTCGGCCAGGGCACTCCTGTTAAAGCGTAATCACGTGACCCCCCCTTCTCAAAATCCTGCAGGGGCTCCTCACATGTTTCAGAGTCATAGTCACAGTCCATGCACAATGGCCTATAGGGCTCTACATGATTTACTTCCCCCAACTCAGCACACCTCTATCCCTCATCCCCTCCCAACCCTCCTCCTCTTTGTTTTCTGTCCTCACCTCCTCCTCCTTCTCCTTTATCCATCACACTCCAGCCACAAGGATTTCCTCCCAATTCCTTAAACACCAGACATGCTCCTGTCTTAAGGCTTTGCCTTTGAAAGAGAGAGAGGTTCTCTCCCAGATATCAGCATGGCTTTCTCTCTCACCTCCTTCAAGTCTTGGTGTGAATGTCACCATCTAAACAACACATCCCCAAATTATCCCATCCCAAATTGCAAACCCTTCCCCCACCCACTCCACTCTGGATCCCCTTTACTCTCTTCATTTTTTTCCCATAAAACTATCACTTTCTAATCTTTTATGGCACATTACAGTCTGCCTGTGTGTTATATTTATCATCAGATATCGTCTCCCCAACTAAAGTGTAAGCTCCACAAAGATAGGGGTGTTTTCCTGTTTTGTTCACTGCTACATCCCCAGGCTCAGAAGAGTGTCTGGCCCATACTAGGCACTCAGTAAATATTGGTTGCTTACATAAGTAAATAAAAAGGTAGTACACATAACTATCCACTGCCTGAAGACTTTACCCTCCCAGTCACTGGTAAGCCCAGCTAAGTTGCTTTTTTCCAATATCCTGAATGGGACTTGCAGTCACCAGTGACTTCTGGTGGGACACTCCGCAGATAGCAGAGATAAGTTACATGATGATGGATCACTCTTGTATCCCTTTCCCAGGCATTTCAGATACCACATCTCTCAGGCTTTCCTCTGGGGCTGCTCCTTTGTCTCAATTTACAGCTTCTTTCTTCACCCTGTACCTCAAACCTAGGGATTCCCAAAGGCTTCATCAGGCACACACATCTATATCCTCATCCTGGTAGTGCTAGTCCTCTGAGGCAACACTCATCCACCCCCAGCCTGTTTTCCACCCAACTGCCCACACTTGGATGAATCCCTATTGCCACCAATATATCAGCCGGCCCTTGTTTCTCACCACCTTTTTCTTTTTTCTTTTTTTTTTTATTCGACAGACAGAGATCACAAGTAGGCAGAGAGGCAGGCAGAGAGGGAAGGGGAAGCAGGCTCCCTGCTGAGTAGAGAACCCAATGTGGGGCTCGATCCCAGCACGCTGGGATCATGACCTGAGCTGAAGGCAGAGGCTTCAGGCGCCCCTCTCACCACCCTTTCCTGGAAGGAGCTCCCAACCACAGTCTACATTTTAACTCCCAGGACAACTGTTCTTTAGAAGCAAATCCTGTTTGTTAGCAGAGCGAGAGCATCTGCTAGTCTCATCCTAGTTCAGGCCCTGAGCCACAGTCAAAACCATTCAACAAAAACAATAAATGGCAGAGCAAGAGAGCTCAGCAGAGTAAACAATGCAGCACGCCCTCAATCCAGGTCGAGGGGAAGAGCATTCACGTGCTGGAGCGGCTGCAGCCTGGTGTGGAACCCTCATTGTTTGAAAGTGTACAGGGCCATCTGCCTCACTACTGCCCATTGGCTGAGAATGCACAGGACACCCAGTCACACTAGCTCTCCTTGGCTGGGAGCCGTCAACACCCCTAAAGGGAAAATAAAAGTTTGTGTGTGTATGTATATGTGTGTGTGTGTGTGTGTGTGTGTATACTACACAGTATAATATTGTAACTAACTGCTTTTCTTTAATTTTAAGATCTCAAGGCAAATATTTAAGGGGTAAATTCATTAAAATAAATGGGTGCCATGAAGAGCCAAGTTAAACAGGGTATGTATGTACTAACGATTCCCAAGTCTACATCTACCCCTCTCCTCTCCCACACAGACTCCAGACCTGTACATGCAACTGCTCGTTGGACAAATTTTCAATCAACATGTCTTCAGCTGAACTCACATTTCTCCCATGCCCTTTCCCACCAAACCTGGTCCTTCCCACGTTCCAGCTCAGCAAACAGTAACAGCTTACACCTAGCCATCCAAGCCAAAAACAGAAACGTTATCCTTCATTCTTTTCTCTTCCTTGTCTTTTAGATCTTTTCAGTCACCAAATCCTTCTCATTCTACCACCTAATGTCTATTGAATGCATCCAGGTGCCTTTCCAAGAGAAAGCCAAGTAAATTAAATCCTTTACTATAGTTGAGCATTACTTTCTACGGTAGAAGAAGGGTATATAGTGCCCAGAAGAGAGTCTATTTCCATCTAGAGGAGAAGGGAATTAGAGACAGCTCTCTTTAAGCTGCATCTTAAAGAATGTATACGTTTCTTTGGTGGACAGGAGAAGGGATTCTAGATAAACAAGATGACAAAAGATCTGGGAGTTTGAGAATGCATAATGCCAAACACAAATACTTAGTGCCAGCATTATTGACAATAACCACAAGGTGGAAACAACCCAGATGTCCATCAATGGAAAAATGAGTGAACAAACTGTGGTATACACATACAATAGAGAATTATTCAACCATAAAAGGGAACCATAAAAAAGAATGAAGCACTGATAGATGATACAGGGTAGATGAACATCGAAAACATTATACTAAGTGCAGAAGCCAAACACGAAGGGTCAACATTGTATGATTCTCCGTAAAAAATATCCAGAATATGTCATCCACAGAGACAGAAAGTAGGTTCGTAATTGCCAGAGGCTAGGGAAGAGGGAAGCAGGAAGTAATTTCTTAATGGGTGTGGGGTTTCCTTTTGGATGATGGAAATGTTTTGGAATGAGATAAATGTGGTAGTTACAGAACATTACGAATGTACTAATTGTCAATGAATTCTTCATGTTAAAATGGCTAAAGTTATGCCCTGTGAATTTCAATTTTTTTTAAATCTTTTTAGAAATTTGGAGGATAAGGGAGAAGTGGTTAGAAATAAATGTGAGAAGGTAGGTAAAAAATAGTATAAGTAGTACCATAACTACAGATGAAGAATTTGGGATATATTTAGACTCTCATTCTTATGGATTACTGATACAGCATTAAATTAAATAGATATGTAGATATTAGCTTACTTGACTGGGGTGACATTTGTGTCTTCTCATTCCTCTTGAAGTCCCAATTTTGACCAAATCTTCTTTAGAATGTGATTTCCAAACATACTCATCATTGTACTGTGTCTGATTGGGAATAGGGTCACTAAGAGAATATGTATATCCTAGTCTTCTGATACTTTTTTGGCTATGAGAAAAGATAGTGGAAATCAGAATAGGGGATTAAATACCAAATCTCACAGCGGTATACATATCAAATACTTTTGCTTATAACTTTTTTTTTAAAATATTGTCTGGTTCAACACTTGGTGCCAGAAATAATTTAATTTCCAGATTCCCTTGAAAAGAAACAATCCTGTACCTTAGGACAGTTCTTCACAAACGTATGGGAAGCCTAAAATGGAATTTAAAAGAACAGCCATCTGAAATTCAGTAATTTTTTCAATTAATTTTTTTAAAGAGCAGATACCCTCCCCCATAAACAGTACTTCAGTGTAATCAAATGCTTGGTGAAGAAATGTTTCCCTCTATGAAAGTATTCCAGTTAATAAAAGGAAGATACGGAAGAACTGGGATATCACTAGTTTGCAAGGCCATAATGAAATTATGCATCCAGCCAATGGTCACCAGTTCCTACTCACAGTTCAAGAAGAGGGTCCACCAGCTATCATGTGCCCTGGATGGACATACACAACACCTATCTGGTATTTTTGTCAAAACACCCAGCTGAATCAGATGAAGTCTTTGAAATAGTAGATTATAGGAAGTGCATGAAAAGAAGAATATTTTAAACAACAGAATGGGGGTGAAATCAGAAAAATCCAGAACAATGATCTATTTCTTTAACAAAGAAATTCTCAGAAAAGAAAAGGGAACCTGTGGATTAAAGGAGGTTAAAAAACCATCACCAAATGCAATGTGTAGAACTTATTTGGATTTAATTTCTAACTGACTTTTTTTTTTTAATTATGAGACATTGGGGGAAATTTGCTGATTGGCCATTTGATACTAAGGAATTGTTTCTTTTTGAGCTGAGACAATGGTATTGTTTCATATTTTTAAGGCATCCTTATCTTTTAGAGATACATAAAAATAATATTTTGAATTAAAATGATATAATGCCTGGAATTTGCTTCAACATTATCCAGTGGGAAGGCTGGGTGGAAGGTATACATAAAAAGTGTCAATGTGTTGATTATTGTAGGTGGATAATGGCTAGGAATTTATTGTATATTCTTTTGTGTACGTCTAAAATATTTCATATTGGCTTTTTCTTTAAAGAAGCCTGGGTTGGACTTAAAGAAGCCTGGGTTTCTTTAAAGACAGCCTAGATACTGTCTTTAAGAAACCAAACATCTGGAAAGTGGGATACATCTGGATGATGGAATATTTTACTTATCGTTCAGATGTGTAGGCTCAGGTAGGACTGTGGTCCTGAATGAAAGTGAAGTTGTAACATCTAACCATGACACAAGGAAGAGAAAGATGGGAGACAGAAAGCCCCTGTGTAGGTACTGAGGTTTGTTTTCAGGCAGAGGCATGTTAAGAAAGAATACACTGAGAGATGGAGATCTGAAAATCAACTCCCTTAAAGCTATCTGTGCTGTGTTGCCTTTGGAAAATCTTCATGTGCCTTTGATGACTTCAGTTTCATTAAAATCCCATACCCTTACTTTGGGCTTGCCTTTGGAGGTCTGAGAGGGTGAGGAGGGCATGCGGAAAGGGGACGAGAGAGGGAGTGCATTTCTCTAAACAGGACATGTGGTCCATGTGGGGATGTCCTGAATTTAGGTACACTGTAGAGTTCTGTGGCTAAGAGTAATGTCTAGTTTTTCATTTCCTAACCATTACAGAATGCTCAGCCCTCTTTAAGGAGAGCCCTCTGAGAAGAGAGCAGAGAATATAGAGTGCTTCAAATGACTCTTTTCCCTACATATTTAAAGATTTTTTTCAGTTTAAAAAAACAATCCCTAGGACATGTCATTAGCTAGAAAGAAGAGTATCTCTGAACAGGTGAAGTAGTACAGGATGGCAATGCTGATACTTTGAAACATAACTGGGATCTTTTCTGAGATTAGCAAATTTGAAAGATTCACTAGATAAAACCGATACACAAAAGTTTTGTTATTTTTTTCCTTCAGATTTTTGTATCCGCCATTCAATTGGGTACTTGTCTTTTTTTAAACCCAAACATATTATGAAATATTTAATCCAATACAGCCATTCCTCATTTTATCTATATTGTAAAATATGTAATGACATATGGCAGTACATGCTGGCTTGCCAGATCAATTAATTTTCAACAGGTAGAACTTTCTCTCTCATTAAATGCAGAGTAAATGTTTCATTTGTATCTATAAGAGAAGATGGGTATTAGCTGAATCTATTGTGGCAATCATTTCACAATGTATGTAAATCAAACCATCGCACCGTATGTCTTAACTTATACAGTGATGCATGTCAATTGTTCCTCAACAAAATTGGAAAAAATATATTAAACAAGTTTCTCCCAAGTGAAAGAACAACTGATGTAATTTAATAGTCATGTATTAAGATGTAGCTTTTCAGAATACTTCTCCGAAAATGAGTTAGGGAATAACTCAATAACTGGATGGCATATCATCTAATTATTTCCTTTCAATAAAACCAAAAGACTAACCCAACCAAGTTGTCAGCTGCTCAGTCATAAAAACCACCATATAATTTCTGGCATATAACTTAGAAAGAGTTCAAAGTCTTGAATGACAACACCACACTTAACTCCTTTCATTCACATCTATTTATTTATATGAACCAGTTTGCTCAACACTAGCATCTATAAATTGAAAAATAAACATGAGAAGTAGAAAAAAAAGGATGCTGAACGCAGTTCCATTCCAAAAATAATAACACTTTAAACTGGATACATAAATTAATTGCAAACAGAATAGTCACATTTATCTCGTTAAGTTACAATTCCAAAGAGCTTACTTTTTGTGTTTAGTAATTATTAACATTTGTAATATATTTATTGCTTTGAGCAACTGTGTACTAAAAATAATTACGGTAACTCAGTACTTAGGGTCACATAACATGTTTAAAAATTAATTTTAATTAATATACTAAAATAGTTTCAGCAAAGTATAATGCAGTGATCAATAAATTGCTTTCAAACACAAAATATATTACAGCAGGGTAAGAGTCTATGCAGGAAGTGGAGTGGAATAAGAGCTCAAGAAGCAAAAGGAATGAAATGGTCTATTGAAGAAGAGTTTGTGTATTTTTTAAAAAGATCATAGTAAGTATCGGTAAGTTAAGGTGTTTAGGTTACCCATTGGCTATATATTTTTTAATGACTTCATAGTTTTAGTTTAAAATGTCAATGTTTAGGATGGGCTATGCAATTCATCTTTCACAATCATTTGAATTTATAATAAAAAGTTTTCTGTGAACTTAAAAAATACGCAAATTTGAAGACCACTGACCTAGACTCCATTAGTACCCATTTGTTTTTGGCTTTTATCCCAAATGTTTCTTCTTGAGACAACTGTTACTGACTGGGAAGCTGGCATGATCATTACCATGAGATGATAAATCTCCCAGTTAGAGGACATAATGTAACTCAGTGGGATAGCCAGGAAGTCAGATATCAAGAGTCTTGCGGGCCTGTAGTGTTTGGAAGTCTATCAGATATTATGCTGGGGAAAAAAAAATGAACGAAAATTTTTGAGTAACTTCTTGATGCTAGTCACCGTTCTAGTGCCTTTATTCCATCCTCAGAACCACCACCTGAGGCAGGATCATCACGCCCACTTCGTCAACCATAAAACTGAGCCATAGTTGGCTTGTTACCTGCCGAAAGTAGAAGAGATAATAAGGGGAGGAGCAGGGAGCAGAGGCTAAAACCCATTTCTGCATTACTCTTCAGCCACGTCTTGCCCATACCCCATTTGACTTCTCGACAACTCAAACTCTTGGAGTGAAAAGATCCTTTTTATTGGGAACAGTTCACACAGGCAGGTGAAGTGTCTCCATGCTGATTTCCCACCCACCGTGGATGCAAGGAATGATGACAGGGTTTTCCTGACCCCACTCTCACTCACCCACTAATGAGCTTAAAGAGGCAGCTGATGGACAGAAATTCTCACCACTCACAATTCAGGTGGAAATGGAGAAGCTGTAAGCCATCTGAGGAAGCAGTAAGTGGAGAAGTGAAGGTCAGGGTGAGTGGGTTATGGCCGTCCAGCTTCCCAGAGCAGTGTTGGTGATAGAAGTGCTAACCGTTCTTCATTCGGCCATTCACTCAATAGTTACCGCCTGCCTACTAGGTACTAGGTAATAGATTCGATTCATACTCCATGTTTAGGTAGCACAATTCCATTAACCTATATACTGGCTCTGTTGTAAAGCATGACCTGCAGTGACTTTATGAAGGACCCATATGTTCCTTTTCTTAGTTCTCCTGTAAGAGGTCTGGATACTGTCTTAAGCGGGGAGGCTATCTGGTGCTTGGAGAAGCACTGTGCATGCAATAGGCTCTCCGTGTGGACATTTTTATAAGCCTTCTCTGATTACTCTTTCTCTTGGCTTTGGACTTTGAATAATAGAATGCAGGTGAACAGTTTAAGCTGTGTACATCAACCTGACACAAATTGGGATCTACCGAATTAAAGCAGGCACGGCTCCGGTCTTCGGCGTGTATGCGGTCCTCATGGTGGTGGCATAGGAATCCCAGGTGGCATCACCTGCTAAAAAGACGACAAAACAGTTTGAAATGTGACAAACCAGAATATTTCCATTATATGTTGTTTTCATAATTAAAATAATTTTGCAAAAGAAAATAATTTTTGGATAGTGATTGAAAGTCTAAAGGAACAAAGGCCAACTTGCGGCCTCTTATAGGAAAGGGGAAAACTCAATCAAATGATCTGAGTTCCTCCCTAAAGAGAAACAGGTCCATTGTTTTTCCTTAGAACTCATACATGCTATTTTAAAGTGTTAAGGCAACACCTAAAAATATAAAACGAAGTTTTTTGACCTGCTATCACTTTAAGGCGCCCACTATGACTTTAGTGATCAGCTTCCCACGCATTGTAGAAGATCCACCTATACACACATGACATGATTTTACACAAGGCTCACATGTCCCGTTTTATCCTGGGCACATTCTCCTCTCTCCTTCCTCCCTCTGTTCATTGTCACTCTCCTCCTCAGCCCTCCTCCCACCCCATGTGAACAACAGTGCTGGTTTCTTTCCATGCTTTAACATCTCCTGATACAATGACCTAGAGATTTATAAATACTTCGACATTGGGTTTTAGTTTTCACCATCTTGTTTTACTAAAGTGGCCTCCTAATTCATCATCTTCTCTCTGTCACGGAATGGTGTCATACGGGAAAGCCCTCCAACTCATCAGGAGAAGCTCTAATGGATTCTTGCTCATGATGGCACCGGATTCCACAGCACAGGTGAGATTTAAAGTGGTGAGCGTGGGTGGGATCAAGAGAAGAGGAGAGCTGGAGGAGACCAGTCTAAAGGCCTTTGGCATACTAGCGTCAAGAGGTTGGGGAGAAGGAGAATCAGAGGAGGAGGCCGGCAGAGGAGAGCAGTCAGCAAGAGTACGTGGTGTCCTGAAGGCCACAGGAAGGAGGGATTTCCAGGAGGCAGGGGGTAAGGACGGCCTATGGCAAATGTAGGGGACTGGGTCCACAAAGACAAAGACAGAGAATTAACCATGGGGCACATGCTCACAACAACAGAATATAACTGCCCCAACCTCCCATTGTCCACGAAGTGCCACCCCACTTCTTAGGAGTAAAGATTTTAAATTTAACTTAGTTGTTCTCTCATTCTTCCTACCTGGGCAATTCACCTGTTACTCTTTTACATAAATAGAAGTGTATTCAGACATGAAACTTCATGTCTGAATACACTGCTGTCTGGGGTCTAGCTTCTCTCTGCTAGACCCCCATGGCCACCTCATTGTCTGTGATGTTCCCACTTGTGCATCCTAAATACAATTGCTATAAAGTGTTCTTCTCGAATACATCTTCAGTTCCCAAAGAATCCTAAAATCTCTCTGTACTGCCTAGCATATGGGGCCCTGACCAAACATTTAGATTTTGCTGTCTGTGTGTTTCTTTCTGTCTCATCTCCTCATCTCCCAACCAGCTCTTGTTCCCAATTTAACAGGCCCTTGCAGGCAGCCAGGCAGCTGGACCTGCTGCTCTGTGACAGTTTCCCCACCGCCTTCTCTCTGGCTGGGATTCACCTCCACCAGCTTCCCCCGTCTAACAAAAGTCTAGCCCCCGCACGCTCCACTCTGTGCTGCTGCTCACACACACTCCCGGTGTCCCCGCCCAGAACCCACTCGACAAGAAACGACGTTCTTCTCTGACGCTGCTGCTTTAGTGAGAGTCACTTCGTGCTTTCAAGCATTTTGTTCCAATTGTAGAATTGAATGTTCTTTGTTCAGAGAATTCCAAGTATGAACAAGTAAGTGGGAAGAAATTGGGAGGCAGAGCTGCTCTTAAAAGAAACCTTCACTTAACCTGATTTGAACCTCAGAGGGCGACTCTTGGAAGGCTCAGGAAAGATCCTCTGCTCAGAGACCACACACCATTTCACTCTCTCCTTCCTAAAGCAAACAGTACTAACCCAGGCCAGACCAATTTCCTGCTAGACCCACAATAGGCCTCAAAAACCCTGGCAACACAACATCCAGGTAACATCTCCCCATCAATCACATGGGCAAGCCAGATCCACCTCCGGGTGTCCCTATCTGGGGCCTTTCCACTTCCTGAGGACAGGCTGGGGGCTGGCAGCCTCCTATTGCTAAGATCCTATTCCAGAAGGCATCAGGCACAGGAGAGGCCATGTCCAGCTGCCTATAGGACCTGAGACCAAGTGGACTTCCCTCTCCCTAATTCTAACCCGCTTGGATGGCTAGAATGACGAGATGCACAATTGCTGGTACATCTTCCTACAGTTTTTTGTTTAATGACTTTTCTTACTAAAAGTCTTTATGTCAGCTCTGTGTCTGTGCTTCCTACTTCCATTGACACAGCTTCTGAAAATACAATGTTATTAGAATTAATCCTCTTCATTGACAGAAATAATAACTTTAAAATCTATAATCATAATATTCTAAAACACCGATTTCCAGAATGTGCCACCGCCTGCTTTTGCCTTCATTCTCATTAAGTACCTCGGTGTTTTCCTATGTAACTCTGTGTCCACCTCTCTCAGGATTCTGTCTTCCTGTTTCTACCTTCTTTCATTTTCTGTTCATTCTACAGTCAAGTCCTGAACCCCTCCCATGGACCAAGCTCCCTGGTAGGCCCTAGGACAGAGAGATCCTGTTCCTGGCCTTGGGGAACTCCCAGGTGAGTAAGGAGACAGTGTATCTCCAGTGAGTACAAGCTAGAGACTCACTGTTGGGCCGTGTGCCATGGTAGTTCCCACAGAAGGTGCCAATCTTTCTGGCTGGATGAGAGAATGGGCATCGAGGTTGGGTCCTGGAGGTACTTCATTTCAGAATAGGTAGCTTCTGAACCAGGGCTTAAAGTAGGCATTGGACAGGGACCACAGAAGGATGTGAAGTGAAGCATTTTTCAGAGGGAGGGGCATGAGATGTGAAAGTCTGAGACCTGGCGAGTGGCCCAATGTGAGCGAGGCCGGAGAAGACAGGTCTGCGAGGTCTGGTTTGTCCCGCTTTACCCTGGTGCTTTACCACCCCTGGAGGTATTCACAATTATGAAAATGTATTATGAGGTTTTGAAAATATTATAAAATAGTAACTAGCCTGTGCATATTATATGACACTTTACAGGGCATTTCTGCATATGGAAACTTGTTTTATCCTCCACAATAACCCAATAGGTGGGCAGGTATGAACAGTCCCTGATAATTCTAAGTTTGCCTTGCTGTTGGGAGGATTAAAGGGGATGGTGGATTCAAGCATTTAGAGTAGGCTGAACAGGGACCCAAAAGATGCATCCACATCCAAACCCCAGAACCTGGGCATGGTACCAAATAAGGAAAAGGGGCCTTTGCAGACACATCTGGAGATGAGGAGATCATGCTGGATTAGTGGTGGGCCCTAAAGGCCATTTCACTGCCCTCATAAGAGGCAGAGGGAGATTTCACACAGAAGAGTAGGCGATGTGACCATTGAGGTCCAGACACAGTGAGGAGCCCACAAGAAGGCTGACAGCCCCCAGAAGCTGCAAGAAGCAAGAAAGGCTTCTGCCCCTGAGCTACTGTTGGAAATGCAGCCATGCCAGCACCTTGATTTGGGACTTCTGGCCTCCAGAATGTGAAACAATAAATTTCCTTTGTTCCAAGCCATCCATCAGTTCATGGTTATTAATGGCGGTCCTTCAAACCAGTAACAGCAATTACAAGCCCATATCTAGTAATACAGTTCAATAGCAAGTAGCCCATGGGAATCATTGCCAACCTCACCTTATTTTTGGACCAAAGCTAGGCAGTGACACCTCAGTCCCACCTTTTGGAGCATGACACTTTTAGCAGTGGAAGATGGAGTGGCACAGAGTGCCTGGTAGAGCCCCAAGATTGGGCAGAAAGAGTTAAACTTGCCCATGGGAAGGGGATCTTTGGGGCAGAATCAATGAGCCTTGCTGATCAAAGTAAGGTGTCAATGAAGCTGCCCTCCCTTCTCCCTTGAGCAGCAGGCACCCTCCTAACGGGCCTGCAAAGTCTAGGAGGACGAGGAGTATCATTTTGTACATATTAGTTCGAGGCCCTTCTGTGACATCCAAATGGAATTGTTTGGTAGACAGCTGTATACTTTGGTTCAAAAATTAGGAGTGAGTGAGAGAGATTAGAAATCCATTGGCACATTTCTGTAGGCTTGAAGCCCTTGGTAGGACATGACCACTATACGGAGGTCATAAATCAAGTAGAACTAATCTTGAAGGACTCTCACATTCCCCAGACAAGAAGGGGGAGAGGAAGCAGTGAAAGAAACCCAGACAGGTGGCTGGAAAGAGAGGAAGAGATTCCAAAGGAATGTAGTGGGGAAAGCCTGGGAAGGAGGTTCTCCTCCCTGCTTCTCTTTTTCGCCTTGTCTTCATATAGAAACAGAGTGTTTTCAGTATATTTTGTATGAATTAAGTATTTTCATTTTCTATCCTTAATTTTCAAAGGGATGAATGGACTGAAAATATGCATTTCATTCTTTCTGGCTGGTCTACAATTCTAGGGACTTTGCTGCTGAACCGTTCCCAACTGCTCTGTAGCCACCATGGAACCACAATTACCCAGCTAGAGGGCTGCAGTGGGTGATTATTGCCATGAGAAAGACCAGGAATGGAGCTGACTACACAGTAATCAGGCCACTAGTATCACAGCTAGAATGGCTCTCCCTCCACGGACACAAAAAGCTGACTTTGTAAACCGGCTGCATTTGAATGCAAAATTAGCATGAAAAGCTCTACCTCTGTAAAATGCAAAATTCCATTGAAAGAGAAATCAACAAAGGTTAGGTAGAAGTGGCAGCTGAATGCCAAGTTCCCAGCCTCGGCTGTAGCCACGTGGGGGGATGCTGCCTCTGCAGATCCACTAAGGGGTCCTGCCTTCTGTGCTATTCCTAGATACTGCGTGGGGGTCAGGTCACCCCTGGGTCTGTTGTTTTCAGAGCGTGTGACCTCGGTACCTTCTTTGTCTTTGCCCTCGTTCTCCTGGAAAGGCACTATTCCCTCCTTTCTGACATCTCCTCCTAGGCACTTCTTGGAGTGGGGGTGGTGGGTTAAAAACACCTGAATGGTTTAGGGAGGGAATCTGTAGAAATTATGGCGAAGGCTGTAGAAGGACAAGGTCATGAACATTTCATTCTCTCTGACTCGAAGACTATCCATGAATTGAGTCCCACCCATACGAGGGAGGCAAACACCCTTGCAGACAAAAAGCAGCCCTTGCTCTAGCGTACCCCCTTCCCAGGAGAAAGCCCGCCCCCCTGCCCCGCCAGCCCGCAGGGTCTGCAGCCTTACTTGGCTGAATCTTGTGGCCCCTCTGAGAGGGGCACGCGGCCTCGGGCCCGGGCTGTGCCATTCTTGCTCAAGAGAGGCCGTGGCGGTGCCCTCTGCTGCTGCTGGGTCTGGGTGCTGCGCACTGCGCGCGACTCGCGGCTGCTTTGTGACGCGTCGCCATGGAGACGCGGGTCACTTCCTGCAGCTCAGCTGGGGGGCGGACAGCTGCTGGAGGTGTAGGGCGAGCGCTTCATCAGGCAGGCTGGGGGGCCGGGTGCGGAAAGCAGAGACGTGTTCCCAGTAATATGGATTCTTACTTTCGTGCATTCCTATAGTCCTCGCTCACAGTGAGCTTTCCTGAGCCTTGTCTTATCTATCTGGAGAGAGAAGCAAAAAGACAGAGTAGGTTGAAGAGAAAGTCGTATTGTCAGATTTGCAATCGCGAATTTTCATGTCTTCCTAACTTTCAACTTAAGTGACTGTGGCCAAAGTTGTCACAGATCTTTGCGTTAAGAAGGAAACAAGAATGGGCAGGGATGGGTGTATGACACCTTTCTCCTCACCAGGAGAGGTTTCTGGCAGGAACCGTTGCGTTTTGTGATGGACAATGTAATTGTTCTATGTCCACAGACTCAATTGCGTCTCTCCCGGCCCCCGCGTGTGTGTGACAGTTTTTCCCAGAATGTGGAGGAACTTTTATCTTCATATTCTTGGCAACTACCTTACACATAGTAGGCACTTAGTAAAATTGAATGCTTCTAGGCTAGGACACAGCTATTAGCCACCTGGGTGCAAAGAAAAGAGAGGAAGTACTCATTAGAGACTGCTGGCAACATATTTAGAAAGCAATTTACAACTATTCCCTCTCTGCAAAAGGGTTATTTGAGAAAGTAGGACCTTAGATGAAGGTGATGTTTAAAAAAAGGAGTTTGTCAAAGGACACAGAATAGGCATCAAAGTAAACATCCCGAGTGCGTATGCAAGGTGTTGCTTAAAAATTAAGAACTAAAGTAGAATTTTCTGAGAGGAGTCCTATCCGTATAATGGAACATATATAACACATTCTAGACTCTCAAATTTGATAGCTATGAATGGTGGTGGAGCACATAGAAGGTATAGAGTTCTGTGGGTGTTATTAAAAAGAATGAGTCTAAATTAGGATTTAGTAGTGGCATCTAAATGAGGAAAATAACACCCAATAACAGATTACTGTCTGAAAATGGCTGAGCTAATTGGCATAGCATAATTTAAGAAAAATATATGTTTTTTTAAACAGAGCAGGGAGTCTATAGAATTTCAAAAGTGAATTATTAATATCTTCCATTTGTCTCCTCTTAGGCAAGCTGTGAAATTGTGGCCCACACACCAAATCAGGAACTGGGAGATCTCTTTGTACTTTCTACCTGGGGCCTTTGGCATCCAGCAGATACTTATCCCTGAGCCCCAATTTATCTGTAAAATGAGTATAGCAGTGCCTGCCTTGCCGGGCGGTAAAGATGAATAATTCTAACAATAATTTGTAAATTATAAAGCCACATAAACCTAAGGTATTGCTCTTTTGTCTTATTCCTATTCTGAGCCTCATTCTTTTTATAGTCTTTCATTCCTGCTTCAAAATGGATTTTTGGTACAAGTCCATTTTATCACGACCGTTATAGCGCTCTTCCTGCCTCTGAATTTGGGTTGCTTGAGGCAACCCCTTTCAATGATTAAGATGATTTTTTTTTCCCTTCCTTCTTTCCCTCAACAAACACTGCCTGTGCATGGAAAACGAGCTGTAGGATGATATTAAGGGAAATGCCCTGGATATTATGGGAGCTTGGGGAGTTCGTGCTAGAACAGGAAATGCCTGATCTGAGTTCTCAAGGATGCCTAGGAGGCAACCAAGCGAAGAGGGAGAGCTGCCACTAGGCAGAGCGAAGGCCTGGGGGGCAGGGGACATCATGGGCTCAACACTGAGCCAAAGGCCTTGCTGGCCATGCTGGGAAGTTGGGCTTCCCCCACTCAGGAGGATTATGCACTGGAGTGGGTTACAGCAACAGAGCAAAGGGACCAGGTCAGAAGCTTACATAAATCCCAGCCTCTTTTTCCAGGGGAAAGAGAAGCAAGATAACACCTACCAGAAAAAGGTAACCATTGAGAAATTAAGACATGCAGGTTACTAATATGCCTTTTACAGAGTTACGAATTGATCAACAAATAATTTGAGAATTATTTGTATAATTTCTATAATTGTATTATTACAATACAGATATGTATATTTGTATTCTATGTATTATGAGTATATTTGTATATTACATATATGTATATTACATGATACATATATGTATAGTTGTAATAATACATATGTATTATATGTATATTTGTATATTATAATACAAATATGTATTGTATAATAATTTGTATTATTAGTTGTATTGAATGGGCTAAATGTTAAATGGTTGTTTCCAATTCCCGGGTATATACACACATACATATACACACAGAGGGAACATGACGTGAAGGAGTAGCGACAGGTGGGTGGCAAAGGAAAGGGACAGCATGGATAGAAACACCCAGCTTTTGCTGTGAAGAAGGTGTCTCCAGCTGGAGGAGAGGGAGAGGTCAGGTAGGGAGTTAGTACCCAAACGAGAGAGGAGAAGCCAAGTGTGTAGGCGGTAGGTAAGAAATGGAGAGAGATGGGAGCTTGTCTGCAGTTGTGGAAAGAGCAGGTGGGGCCCAGATCTGGAAAAGACAGATGTGCTCCTCCTCAAAACAGGCATGCCCACAACACCTGCGCATCTTGGGAGCACGGATTCTGACTCAGTAAGTCAGGCGGGGCCTGAGATTCTGTTTTTCTGACAAGATCCCCAGATGACTCATAAAGTTTGAGATGGACCTAGCCGGGTGCTAGGACGAACCTCTGCATCACCCAGGAACTTGTTAGAATGCAGACCTACTGAATTAGAGTGTGCAGCTTAGCAAGACTTCCAAAGGTTTCCTAGGCACATTCAAGTTGGAGAGGCTCTGCTCCAGGAACTACAACAGGCAAGGATGTCTCCCAAATGAGAAGGAGAATGGGAAATTAGTTGATAGGAGAATTCAAAGAGCAAGCCAACAAAGGATGTGTAAAAGATTCAGGGACTGCTTCCAAAAGCCTGGGAGAGGTCACAGATGATCTTCAGGTTTACCCAAGTACTTTGGATATGGATATACTGAGTGAAGTTTCTCCAGCTTAGCACATTTCGGCAAAAGTCTTTCTATTACTCAGTAATAGGCAATGCTTTTATTCAAGTGTCTTCATGTTAAAATATATATATATATATATATATATATATATATATATATTGCTTTTTCTCCTTTGTTTTAGCTGATTCATTAATTTGTAAAACATTTTCTCAATTTCTGTGATGGAGTCTGTATTATTCAGGGTATTCTAGAGAAACAAACCAATGGGGTGTGTTTGTGTGTGTGTGTGTGTGTAGAAAAAGAGAGAGAGAGAGAGACTTATTTCATTTTAACTAATTGGCTCACACAGTTGTGCAGTCTGATAAGCCCAAAAGCTGCAAAGGAGGGCAGCAGGTAGGGAGCCCCAGGTGGAGTGGACATTGCAGTTCAAGTTTGAAGGCCACCTGTGCAGAATCTTCTCTTGCTCAGGGGAGGTCAGTCTTTTGTTCTGTTCAGGCCTTCAGTTGATGGGAGACGGGCACTAACATTGTAGGGGGCAATTCTGCTTTACCTAAAGCCTGCCAATTTAAATATTAATCTCATCCAAAAATACTCTCCTAGAAATATCAAGAATAATGTTTGAGCACCATTGCCCAGCCAGACTGACACATAAAATTAGCCATCACAGGTCCAGATCTTTCTGAAATCATTGAATTCCTATCTGCCACTCGGAGGGGCTGTTGTTAAGCAGTCAAGAATAATGGCTATCCTTTTACTGAAAGGTCCAGAAAAGAAAATTCTATAATGTTCTCTATTTTGTTAGGACGATCCAATCTAATGGGGCAGATTCTAAGCCCTGCTTCTAAATGCTACTTGCCAAGCTTATTTCCGTTTTATCCAAATAAAGGCATAGCAGAAAGTCCAGACCGTTGATTTTGTCAAAATCTTGTCAATCCAATATAAACGGCTCCTCCCTCCTGGGCCAGCTATGCCCTCCCTGGTTCTTGTGTGTTCCTCTTCTCTGAACTCTTGAGAGGTTAAGTGGGCCAGGCCAGCCACAGGGTAATTACTAATGCTTTACACTGCTGGTCCTTTCAAGTGTATTCAAGTAGTGAATATCAAGTGTGAACACTCCTTTCAAATCTGTTATACCAGCATTTACCCGTCCAAATGAATGTTCTCTTCTTCAAAGTAATAATTTATTCTAATGACACTGCCATTGCTTAAAGCATTTTTGAAATTCTTTAGAAATTCCCTTCAGAACTGGATGCATTTTCTTTTGAATTTCTTAAATAGGGGCATAACTTGGCTCTTTGAAGATAGATTGGGGATTTGAAACAGTAAAAAGACATTCACATTCGAGCTGATAATTAAGGTAGGCAATCAAGTGGGGCAATGTTATCCTTTAGCCAAAAATCAAACTATAACCATGAGGTAATGAGAAAAAACCTCCCTTACTCTGTAGATAATGTCTGGATTTGCATTCTTGTTGGAATAAATTAATAGCTCCAAGGTGACTCTTGGACTGAGAGCTTCAACAAGTCAAGCCCTTGGATAAGTCCGTCCTCACATATTTGTTTTACAACCAAGTTTTACAGCTTTACGTCATTAATTTTACCTCCAAAACTGGATCCCCAAGTGTTTCAGAGGTTCTCTTTTTTGAACTTCTCTCGTAGCACTCATTTTAATTGTTCTTCTCAGCTTGCACACCTGTCTTCTAAGACTGGAAGCTCCTTGAAAGCAAGGTCCGGGCTTTAGACATGTTTACACACCAGCACCCACCTGCGTGCACTGCTTAGAGTAGGGGCTCAGTCCGACTGTAGAATGAATGAATGGTTTGAATGAATAGATGAATTGCTTAGATCATTGCTGTCCTACAGATTTCCATTGACCTCGAACTGTTGAAATATTCGAGTTAGGCTGCATTTATAGGAAGCCTCGTTTACGCAGAAAGATCTGTCCCAATATACTTTTCACCAATTTTAAAGAATCCCCAATAGCACTTCTTTGTGACACGCGTTAACGTACAAATTAGCACAGGGTATCTTGGCTTAGAAGCGGCTCGCAAAACTTTGCTGAGTGAATATTGAATAAGCAAATGTATTCAATGAAAATTGGTTTTAGTTCGATGAAAAGAAAAGGCTTTAATTATAAAAGAAAACTTCCAGATCTTTAGTCCATTCTTGGAGTGATTACTGATGGTTTTTCTCAGTTAAGCTACTTTTAAAAAATCTCCGTTTTCAACTTTTGTGAACAGATTCCCTATTTCCTTTGGGAAGTATTTAATATTTGATATCCACTTAAGGTTTGTTTGCACTGGTATAAAACTTATTTTATTGTGAACATTCTTCATTTTGCACTGAGTTGAATAACAAATGTTTAGCCTCTTCTGTTATTAAGGAACTTTTTCCCTTTTGTTAAAGATCAGTATCAAAGTCTTTTTCTTTTCTCCAAATGCTTCAGAGACCTGTTCTTCAAAAAGCTCTTCTTGAGCAAGGAGCTGTGAAAACCACAATTCTTATTGTCATTTAGTAAGTTACAAGGCAAATATACCACCTGCAAAGCACAATGGAAAAATCACACATTCATACACACTTGGTCACAAATTTAATTGATTCCATGTTGAATGTTAAGAAAAGTTTTAATTGCACAAATAGAGTACCCAACATATCAATATAAATGAAGGGACAATCAGTAGTGCTATCAAGATGGATAATACAGGAAGTTTAAAAAGGATAGAAAAATTATACTCAGGACCCATAAATCTTCCTCATTATAAGCATATGTAGTGATTCTTTCATGCAGGTTTTTATATGTAAATAGAATTTTTTTTTCTTTTTGAAGAACTCCATTGTAGCTATGAGATGAAAACTGTATTGATGTAACAATGTATTATGGTAATGCTACATACAGCTTTCTTGTATTTTGCTTTTAGTGTTAGGATAGCCGAAAGCTTATTTAAAGGACCCAACTGACTTAATGAACTTCCAATAGAGGACGCCACCCTGTACATTATCCTTCCCCTAACACTGTTTGATACCACATCACCTGGCCTCTTTCTACACAGGCCACTTTGATGAGAGAGACCGGCAAGGAAGCTCAAATTTCAGGCAGTGGGTGGCAAGGTTACTGTCCTCTCAACCTGGCCAATCCTTGGGTACCCCTTACCTAGAATGTTCCTCCTAAGGATGAGAAACCTCTTTGTCTTCCAGTGAAAGATGTCCTAGGCTTTTGGCCAGCCACGTTTGCAAGATAATAGCACTGCTAACCACCTGCTTGCTGGGTTTGGGTTCAGACAAGGAGGTCCCAAGCAGAGGGACTGATTAACGCAGTGTGGAGAGTTAACACTCAAAGTCTGCCAGGGGAGCTCCCAGGAAGCCGGGACACTAAGCAAAGCATTCAGGGTGGTAGGACTCTGCTGCTCCTCTGTCCTTTTGGAGAAATGTTAAAAGGAGAGGACACCCTTTCAGGCCATGGGGCCAAAGCCCTCCTTTTCTGAAGTCAGCTGCATCGGGCCTGCCAAGGCATCACCCAGGAAATGGAAGGCAGAGGCCTTCTGTGGGAGCAGAGGGGTGGAAAAGCAGGTGGAAGCGTCCGCCTCCCATTGCCTCTGGCCTCTCCTCAGCCTTCTGTCCTTGCACGGGCCCGGCGGGTAGCAGCGACCACAACACATTCAGTCCAATCAGATAAACTGGTCGGGTGTCTCTTCTGATTCCAAAACGCTCGGAAATGGCAATTCTGCCAAAAGGGCCTCCGTCAGCGATGATCTAGGTGACAGATTGCAGTTGAAAACTTCATCTATTGAACCTGAGAAGAGTAACAAGGCACAGGACTATCATCACTGGAAAAACAGCAACATTAAGAAAACAACAGTGCCTTAAAACTCACACAGCATATAACGTCAGCATTTCAGTGGTTAGTGGAGACTCCTGACTTCCTTGGAAAAACTCAGAAAGATGAACAGTTTTTTCTGGCTGTTTGTCTACCAGCTGGATATGGTCCACGTGCTTTTCCGCAGGCCGGAGTAGACATGCAGAGAGTTTGCTCACTTGTGACAAAAGGCCCACAGCTGGGGCCTAGTCACCTAGGACCAAGGTCCGTTTTGACCAAGTGGACAGAGCTGGGCTGATTCACCAGGGCAGAGAGCCAGTAGAGGCCAGGGCCGCAGATGCATCTGGGCTGGGCCACCCGCGGTGAACAATGAAGGAGGAAGAGGGAGAGAGATACAGAGGGAACAGGGGGAAGAGAAGAAAGAGGAAGGAGTAGGAGGGTGAGGGAGAGCATGCGCAAGCGCCCGAGTGGGGGGGTGGGGCTCCTTCCAAAACAAGAAATACTTAGAAGAAAGCATTTTTGCTATAAACATTGGAAGAAAGCAACTTTCATTAAATGTAATTAATAAAGACTCTGTTTTTTACATCTGAACATTTTTTAAACTGCAGCCTCATAGTGATAGGTATGATTTTGCTTGTCTTTGTGTCTTTTCTTCTTGCATTTAGCCGCAAGAGTCATGGTTCAAGAACATTGCTTTCCAGCCCAGACTAGTGTGGGACAGGAGAATGGGCTCAGCAGAAGACACATCCAGACAAGACTTGATGGATGTCATCTGCCTTAGCCGAAAGCAGACTGAAAAGTCTCACCAGCTCCTAGGGAGGAGGCACTGGATTTTCAAATACAGATTAAGGTCTGTTAGGTTAAGCATTCTCAAGATTTGTTCTTCTGTGGTCTTGTAAATTCTGGAGAACCCTTTCAAATATTTTAAAGATAGATATCTTGATCAGGTACAGATCTCCCCCAGCTGACACCATGTGTTGCCTTGAATGTGCACATCAGGAAAGCATCATTTTTCCTAATATTTAAATTATTGTTCATATTTAAATGAGCAGTACTATGTATTCCAATGAATAGAATATTTTAAAATTACATTCTGGGTATACTGCACACTCTAACTGCTATTTCAGAAAACTTTAAGGAGGCTAAAAAGAAAAGTCATCGTATTTCTTCTTGGTAGTAAATATTTTTCGCTTCTTACTTTCTGAATGATGAGATATTCTGTTACCCCTTTATCAAGAGGCCTTTCTTTTTCAGCTAATTGACTCTCCACTCCCATGGTATTATTCTACCCTTTTATTTAACTACCTTCCTCAGGTACTTGAGAATTGTTAACATACCTCTGGAAGTTACACTGAATTTTCGGTCAGAGAAACTGCTCCTTCGGATTAAAGGCTCGCTCATTTTTTCCAGAAATAATTTAATTGTCTCCTTCTTTTCTGGACTTGTACTTGACAGATTCAGAACTTTTCCTTTCACCTTTACAGTGGAATTGCTGAGACCAAACCAATAGAAGAAATCAAATAATGCGTCAGCTTTGAATTCATATACAAAGCTCAAATTTTCTCCGTTAACCACCTCATTTCCTGGAGGGAAAAATTTTTTTACCACCTCTTGAAAGTCAAACTGAAAGAGAGAGAAGCATTTAATTAATGTCATGGATATAACTATAATGTTATATTACAGAATTTTATATTACTATAGAATTATACCGTTGAATTAACAACGGCCCAAATAGCCAAGATACCACACCCCTTTTTTCTTTTTCTTTTTCATTATGACAGATATATTTAAACGGCTGACTTTCATTTTTTAAAACAGACCTTGGCATTTGCATCCCAGCTATCCGGAGCCCATGAACTACGTGGTCAAATTGACATTTATTATATCTAGATCAGTTGCTAGAAACCAAGCTCATTTTACTGGTAGTGATAATGAAACAATAGAAAACCTATGAGTCTGGTTATAATTAAGCTCTAGGGACTAGGCCTTATATGAACTGCACAGACCCCTTTCTATGTGGTTAGCAGCCCTGGGTTCAGACTGACCAAGGCTTACCTGAAGTCGGTAGCTTTCTCCAATCACTGAGGAGATTACCATGTCCATCCCTTGCTCTATCTGTCTTCTTATTTTGGGGTGCCTTGTGTTCACAAGAAATGCATATGTTCTTTCTAGAAATCAGGAAGCAGAATTCAAATAGAAGTGTGCATGGGTGATATAAACATACTTCTTAGCATTCGATGCAGCAGTGATTTCCATCTTATTGGGAGATTTTATTCATTTGTAACTTCCCTCGAAGCTCCCTCAGACCCTCACTGAAAAAACCTAACCAGATTTCTACAAATGTTCCTGAGAATTCTGTAGACGTGAAGGAAGCTTTGGGAAACTGTAACAGCCAGTTAGAAAATCAGCTCCCCTAACTGCACTTTGTCTCCTGAATGATCACAGATGAGAATGGAGTCCCAGGGCCTGTATCCAGCGTGGAGGGCTAAAGTCATAACAGCTTTGCTGGACAGTTAAACAGACTTGGCTCTCACCAACATTTCCTCATGTGCAAAGCAGAACATCAGCCAAGTCCAAAGAAGGAGGCTGCTCCAGGCCTTCTCCTCCCATCACCCATCTCTCCCCATCCTTCCCCAAAGACCTGGCATGCAAAGGGCTAGTCTAGGGATTAAAGGATCAAGACAATCTGAGACTTGAGTCCCCTCCATGCCCCACCCCAACACAGTCCCCAGCAGAAGTCCTTTGTATTGTTTAAATAATACCACATCACTGCCCTAGCAGACAGCTGTTTTGTTGTTGATGGTTGTGTTTTGATTTTTTTTCTTTCTTTTTTTTAATTCCTTATTTCTAATTCTGATTCTATACAATTTAAGAAAAGGGAAGGTTGCTTGCTCATGAGGAAAACTTGAAGTATTACAAACCATTGGTTTCTTAACTTTTCCAGTCCCCAGAATCAAGTTTAATGGCCTTTATTAGTCAAGCGTTTTTTTCTAGACAGAAATGTAACATAGATGGTCACTCTCTGTCTAAAGGCCGTGGACCAGCTATTATGTGACTTTGAGAACTGAATATTTTGCCTTGGCTTTGAGAACCAGACCTGTGGTCCACCAATAATGAGTCTTACACTCCTGAGGAATATATTTTGAGCTAACTTTTGCACTATTCATCTTATTTTTCTACCCCTATTTCCTTTCTCTCAAATTACCATTTTGGGGGGGGGGGCACTTTAAATATGTCCTCTTTGAGATCAGAGATAAACAAAGCAAGCAAGCTATTTGATACCTCGAATTAACTTTCACACAAACCAAACTAAGATCTTTAGGTTCATTAGATACTAAGGGCTACCACAGTTCACAATTGTACTGGTTGTCAGGCTGTGCACTGCACAACTCGAGAGGATGCCATCGACGTTCTTAGATATTGTCTATTTGTATAGTTGTTAGGACAAACTTCTGCAAAGTATTAGTAAATTGTGTTGAGCCACTGGTGGCTTTTTTCTACTTTGCATAAAAGTGCAGTTTAGCAGCAAGGTTAGACATGTTACCTTACTTGTAATTTTCATAATTTAAATTTGACCATCTTAAGCTTCTGTATCGTAGAAGCTCTTTAGTTCATGGCTTTCCTCACAATTACGCAGCACTGGGTTTCTGTACCTCCTTCCACAAGAGCTGTAAGACAACTCTGTATCTTTTGTAGGCCACTCGCATATCCACAAATACCTCCTGTACCATTCCCTGCATTTTCATTAAAATGCTAAAATGGAGAGGTCTCTTAATCTTTCTTAAGATTCCTCCTGCGAAATCCAGGCAGGAGGTGTACTTGATATGTCTGTGAATTACATTCCTAGAGAACTCTCGGGGTTTCCGGTCATCATCAAGCCAAAGAACATCAGGGGCTCAGATGCTCTAACAAGCGCGGCTTGTTACCTTGTGTTCTGTTCCCAGCCCCTCCTGCTGAGAGAGCATTGTGACTGAATCATCAAGTGAGCAGAGAATCTGAATGATTCTGAATGAAATGAACAGAGAACCAGCTCCACGAATCTGAATGAGAATGAATGTTTGAGAAAGTCTATTTGGAATTTGTAGATCATTTCTTATTACCTTGGACTCCGTTTAAGAATGCTATTTAGAAGGAGAATTAAGAAATTCTGCCTCTATCACAGAGCACGATGCCGGTGACTTTCTCCACATAACACTGAGCAGGAAGAAGGGAAAACAGAGATATTTTCATATTGGAGCTAGAGTTAATAGAGTTGTTGGCAGTTAATCTGATTTCTTAGAAGAAACAATAAAGAGATACCCCTAAAATTGAAATTTGAAGGCCATAGCATAAAACATAAAAGCATCTACAATTGCCATTTATTTCTTTACCTTAGTTTCCTTATCTATAAAATGGGTATAAGCACCTCATAGGTAGGATGACTAAGCATCCTAGTTCCCCTTGGTCAGTGCCTGTTTATACCTCAGTCCCAGCATAATTAAGACTACCTACTTTCATGCTCAAAAATGTTCCCATTTGGATGAAAGCCCTACAGGGTTGTGTCAATTAGTGACACGAGAGCATGCCTCACATGTGTAAGCATTTGGTATGTGATGCACAATATTACAGATCATCACTATCATCCCAGCCATTTTTTCAAACCCTGCAGTCTCGGAACCGATAGCACTTCCTGCCTAGACAGGAAGTTAAGACAAATTCCTAGACAGATGGCTTCTGCCCTCAGATCACTTAGAGGTTCTGCAGTCTAGTGCCCTGCTTTAGACAGTCTAACACTCCAGACTGCTTCTCGCTCCAACCCTTGTCACAGCTGACACTCACCTGCTTAGTCCATGCACAACTTCTACATCATTAGCGTGACACAGCCCACAGCCCCAAGAGGCAGAACCCAACCAAAAATATTTATATACCTACCTTTTGAGGTGTCTTTTTTGGTCAGTACATTAACAAAGAACATCATTGGTTTGCTCAGTATAGTTTCCCTGTAATCTTTATAATCGCAGTAGTTGGTCAGTTCCACATATCTATGAAAAAAGCAGAGATAATTGCAAATGTAATATACCCCCTCTGTCTAGGTCAAGAAGAGGATGTCCTGGACAGGAGCATGTCACATTCACAGATCTCATGAGGGAAGTCCCCTAAAATGTGTCCTATGGAGGCAGTCATATTTTGTGCCATATAAATAAATCCCCTCCCTAGTCAGATGAGAGATCAAGACACAACCCGAAGGTGGCTGTGGTCTTTGGGGTGGCCTGGCCGCAATGCTTGGCTCTCAGGGGAAGTCCTCACGAGATGATGGCCGGTACCATCTATCTTTTGGGCTAGAAGAGTTAATTCGAAGCAATAAGAGCTCTGTATCTCTCCAGATTGAAGAAGAATTACACTTGAGTGAGATAAACTGGGTCTTCAGTCATCCTGCCAACCTGGTGGGTCTGACATTTTCCTTTTCTTCTCCTGCCTCTTCCCTTCTTTAATTCCAAGACAAGATTCCAGCCCCTCCAGAGATTACGCAATCAACCAATATTCCTATGAACTAATTCATATCTCTGTAATCCTGAGCTTTGCGCAATGAAGGAAAAAAAAAAAAAAAAGACCACACTAATGTTGAACTTCTGCCCATGACCCTATTCAATTTAGCCTCCTTGGTTTTCATACATTATTCCAGCCTGGGGAGTACTTCTTCGCGTTTTGACTCTGTCATCCAGCATGCCAGCTTCCTCCCCCTATTCTACGAATTTTCCAAGTAGTGTTTCTACCTGCCTTGCTGATAAGAAGACATACATCGGCTTCCCTCAAGAAGATGGCTAATTTCCCATCCACACCCAAGCTCACAGAGCACGTGGACGCGGCAGGTGGAGTGGCCTCCAGCAGGCAGGAGGGTACGCCTGCCACACACAATCCCTCTTCGACACAGACCCGGTTCCCCGTTGACAGGCACAGCTGTGTGCATCTGCACGAAGTGAATGGCTGCCCCGGCTGACAGCACGGGCCGCCTTTGCCGTGCTGCCGTCTGTTAGCTCCTTGCATCTAGTCACGGGGAGAGACAGCTCTGGTGTTTCTCTCTGGCTTGTTGTCTGTCCAGTGCCTGACAAGAAAATCACAGCCTTGGAGGGATCTCCACTGCAGGGAGCTGCGACCGGGCAGTCCTCTCAGCCTCCCGCCCCATCCCACTTCCCACAACCAGCTCGGAGGGGCTGGCCCACGAGACCCGGTGGGGCATGGTTTGCGAGCACGTGGGAGGATACCTACCCCCAAGGCAGAAAAACACAGCTTCGGCTTGTCTGTCTCCCAGCTTGGTTTCTTAGAAATCTCTATCATTATCTTTTTTCCTGGGATTGTCAGACCTGATTTCGAGAGCTTTTAAAACCTGACCCCTGACGGAGTCTCTGAAACGCTTCCTGCCTTGTATTTCGCCAGGCTTTTAATGTAGTCTCCGTTTCCCACGCCGGAGGCACTGGGGGTGGCCAGGGGGCTCGTCCTGGGGTGGAGAAGGGGATGCAGGGCGGCTGTGTTCCCAGGGGAGGGAGGGGTGTGCAGGTGTTAACACTCAGGAGTAGGGTGAGGAGGGCTGGAGTCTGGGGTAAGCGGTGGGGACCAGCGGAAATGACAAGGTAACAGACTGCAGAAGATAATGCAGACCAGGGATCTTCTATGGTCCTTCTGTGGTTCATCTCCTACCCTCATCCTCACCTGAGGCACCTTACCACAGTACCCAGCGAGAATGGGAGAGATGGGGCACCCGAAAGAGAGAGAGGCCCTAGTGTTCCTTATCAGCAGGGAGAGAATGTTCCCATTCTTTTGTCCTAATTGGCTGACAGCCAAAAGGCACTAAAGAAAGGAAGCAAAAGAGAAGCAGGAAGAAAGGGGGATTACCATTTGAGGAGTTCATTTGCTCTCATTCATTCATTCATTCAACAGCATTCGCCAGGCACCGATAATATGCTGGGCACCAGACAAGCATCGCACGGGCTTCATCACACCAGAGGGGCTCAGGGCCTGTGAGGTGGGGCTGGGATAGCAGGTGGGAGGACAGGGGTTCCCTGTGTCCTCCCAGGCCTTCTGCCATCATCTCTTCAACTGCCCAGGACCTGCCACGGGCAGGCAAGCGTGGCCTGGCAGAGGCTGCGGAGTCAGTGAGGTCTGTGGTTGCAGGGGTGTAGGGAGAGGCACCAAGGAGGAGAAGAGGAAGACAACCCTTGGAACCACAGAAGAAGAAAAGGACAAGTCCAACTGAAGTAAACCCCCACAAGATCTATGCCTGGTGCTGGGGCAGAGTCGGGCAGCCCCTGAGCCATCCAAGGCCGATGTGCATATTCTCCTAAATTGTAGACCACAGAGTTAATTTTTAGCCATTTAAACATTTCTTATTTTCCTCGGGGTGACTCCTCTGCTCTCTCAATAGTCGCGGTCTGAGTGTCATTCTCTAGGGCATGTACATGGCACGGACATACAGTGTGTCTGGAAAATCCGCCATCCCAGTTACTATTCTGATGGGGCAAATGGCAGCGTAGTACTTGCCTCCGCCCTCAAGAGCAGTCAACATCCAGTTGGAGGGACCATCGATTTTATACTGACGAACCCACAGCTTACATGAAAAGGATGAAAATCTCAATTTAGAATGACCACTGATTGGGAAAATAATCAGTTTTCCCTAGAATACTGTGGAAGTTTTGTGGAATGCTTTGGGGCTCCAAGAGCTGTTGTTTCTCATGATCAGAGAAGGGGGACCAGGCCAGGGGAGGTGTGGGGGAGGGCCTTCCAGACAGCCGCACAGAGTTTAATGCATAACCTATACATGAGTCATCCTTTCTGGAGTCTGAATTTAATAAGATGCCCTGAATAATAAAACTATGCTCAACATAATTTAATCTCCCTTTGATGATTTAGAGGCATTTTAGGATCTTAACGGGGCTGTAAACATCACCACAGAGCATGTCAGTTATCACGACGCCACAGATGTGTGAAAATGCTGCTATTTATGTGAGAGCTCTGTAACAGAATTTACAGACAAGAGATTGTAGCTAGATCCCTACTTAATGAACTCTCTATTTAAACCCGGTCAGAAATAAGAAATACCTTCTTAATTCATCATTCCCAGCCTCCCAGTGATGGTACAATTGTTAAACCCCTTCAAAGTCCAGTGAAATTAACAAATGTAAGCATTCGTTTGGAATTCACTATTACAAAATTTGGATACGTAAGTCACTAAAATACAAAAAGACTGAGGACCTGGTTGTGAAGTCTCCTAGGTATTTAAATATCTGACATTCGATCACTGGCTTTGTTTTAAGATAAGCCTTACCAGACTACTTTAGGGACTAGTTATTTCATCTTTAATCATGTGGATTTCTGAATTACTGATGCAAATACTGCTTCTTGGGTGCTGGATGTTTATTATATTTGCTGAAGTTATTGAGGATGAAAAGCAAAGGGTTTAAGGCAGCTCCTTGAAACTCTCATGTCTTCATTGCTTTTACCCTGGCCCCAAAATGCTTCTAGGCTGAAACTTCTTATGCCCAGCTTCAATCCAGAGATTGAAAGGCAGACCAATGGGATGCAATGTTTAGTGATTTGAAATAAGAAGATCTAATTCATGCCCCAACTGACTGTATGAACTCAGCTACAGAACCACAACTCACTGTGACCTTGAATGTATTACTTCACCCACCTGAACCTGTGCCTTCATCTGTAGAAGTGCTATAACAGGATCTCCTTCTAGAGAGGATTCAAGGCAGCACAAGTAATAAAGACATTGGTACTTGAGTCCATAGTAGCTGCTCAACAAACATGGTTAGTGTCTTTAATCCTGGCCAACTCTGCTGGCCGTAGGGTGAAGTTCTACAGACTTGTGACACACACACAGGACTGTGTTCATCTGAGTGACCAGGAGAAAGGACAACAGGAGCATCTGAAAAATACATGAGCAAGAATTTTCCTTCCTTGCTCCAATTTCCTCCTCCCCTTTTCAGTTCGGAAGGCCAACACAAAGCTTAACGAAGGCAATGTCTGGAAGGTGAGACCAAGAAAGAACGCTGTATTTTTGCTTCTAGCAAATCCAGAGTGTCTGAGAGATCAGATCATTCCCCTCTGAGATGCCTACTTTCTCTGGAGGCTCCTCCAGGTTCCACATCATTTCTGGCACAATCTGCAAAGCTGCTCCAAATTTCCCTTGGCTCTGGCAATTTAGTGTGCAGAGGCCAATGAGAATTCAAACCCGTGGCTTCTGTCTGAGGGGGTGTATGTGTATGCGCATGCGTGTCTCCGGGTGTGTGTTCACTTAAAAAAATATGGAGAGTAGAGCCCAGGAAAGGAGGAACGCATGTGGAACAGTCCTTGTGTAGAAGGCCCAGAAATAGCTTAGAGCTTTCCTAATCCTTTGCTGTGACACTAAGCAAAAGCACTCTGCCCTTGGGAGCAAGCAGGATGAACCTGCTGTGTTTCCAGTGTTAACATGACAGCTTTATGTGGGGCCTCAGCCTGAGCTGTCTGACGGCTCCTTTTCTCTCACTTCCTCCCCTCCTTAAGCCCCAGCTCTACATTACAGAAGCAAAATTTTCTGATTTATCACTCTTTGATTTGAATCAAAGACACACACGTTCATCTACTCATTCATTCATTCATTCATTATTGATGTGCAGTACATGCCCCCCGTCCTGGGGCAGAAATGATGTATTCATGCTTCCATTTATTCAAGCAATAAACATGAAGCACGTGTGCTGGGCACTGGGGACACACACACACACACAAAAAAGGAAATAGCCTGGCTTCCAAGGAGCCTCTAGTCTATTAGAAAGACATAAGAAAATGCACCATTTAAATATAAGATGACAGACTGGTAAAACCTTGTTGCTGAAAGCATGATCACTGGGCCATTAGCAGTGGCATCACGGAGGAGCTGGGGAGACTGCAGAGTCCTGGGCCCCTCCCTCCCGTCTTATTCAACCTACAAACTGTGTTTTAATAAGCTCCCCAGGAGAACTGTGTGCTTGTTTCAAGTTTGAGAAGCACTGATGGAAGATGTGGTCCCTGCCATTAAGAGGCTCGCAAACAAGTTAATGACTCAAACGTACAAATGCCAGAGAAATGCACAGCTCTCTGCATTCAGGGATCCCAGAGACACTGGCTTATGTTCTGGTTATTTAAATAAGAAAAAGCAAAGCAGGAGGACTTTGGAGTTGAGAACCATTTCCTGAGCTGAGTGAGACAGACAAGAGGGATGGTTCTGTCATGCAAAAGGTCCCACCACCGGCTGGACCAAAGCAGGAAGAAGGCGTCCCCAGGAAGAGTCCCGGGTTAGTCAAGCCTTGGGGACTGTGGGGTGGCCTCACTTGGGCCTGCAGATGGCCATCTGTCAAGGACCAGGTGAGCTGAGAGTCAGAAGGGGACCAGCATGTGGCTGGAGGTCCAGAGCAAGACTCATGAGGAAAGAAGGCAGTAAAGGCCCGTGGCTTTTGAATCATCAGATCTGGGTTCAAGTTCTATCTCTGTGACTCCAGCAAGTTTTTTTTAGCTTTGCTGAGATTAGTTTCCTCACCTGTAAAATCTGGCTAACAAAAGGCTCTCCATTAGGAAGCTAACAGATTTGATCATGTGTGTGAGGTGCTTGCTTTGGGACTGCTTAATAATATTACAGGTGTCCAGCGATCAGTACGTGCCAGTAACTGCTTAAAGGACCTTATGAATTTAAATTCTGAACAACACTATAAGACCGTTGGTACTATTATTACCATCATACAGTGAGGAGATGGAGTCACAGAGATTAAGACATCTCCCAAGTCCCCCAGCTGCTAAGCTGCAGAAACAGGATTCAAACTAAGGCAATCTGGTCCTGACCCCTGTGCTCATCCACACCGATTCTAGATGTCATCTCATACAAATCATAGCTCAACACACGATGATTTCATCACTAGCATTATACGTCCTAGTGAGGGGCTGTTATCCCGGGCAGGTCACCAAATCTGAGACTCAGACATGGAGATCAAGGCAAAGGAGCAGACACAAGGATACAACGGAGCCCCTGAGGGCTGCACACAGCAAATGGGGTCTCAATTGCATCTAAGCCTCCTGCTTCCAGTCAGGGTTGACTCAGAGACGTTAGCCTGGGCCCACAGACACAGCCCGCTACTTCCTGGAGCAGGTAGGGGCAAGACCTCCCCAGGCTCCAGCCCTGACTCCTCCCCACCTGGGCCCATGCATCTCCCCACTGCCCCCAGCAGCCCCTGCCCCAGGTGGCTGACCTCCAGACGGGTGTCCCCATCACCATCTAACAGCTGGTCACCTATGGGCAGGAGCAGCTCACATCTCTGCTTCCAGTGGCCTCCTCAAGGCCACCAGATTTACTTCCCCTTTTTGCCTGATTATATAAAAGAGATGTACTGTCTGCTGTAATCCCAGTTATTTATTTGCCAGTTCAGGAGACTCTGGAGAAAGCCGTTGCTGTCTCCTGGAAGCCAGAATCCTTTCAGCTTCTCGGGAGCTGGCTGAGTGCAGAGGCTTACAGTGGGCCGACGCGACATGGAAGGCCTGGTTCTAGGACCCATCAGCCCCTGGATTAGGTAAATTGTTTGATCTCCCCGAGTTCTAATTTCCTCACCTGGAAAAAGAAGGGAGACACCAATGGTGCCAACTGTGCAAGCTTTTGTGAGGTAAGAGTTGTGAAATACTTTGTGCTGTTCCTGGTGCCCAAGTGACCATCGGCAGCCGCCATTATTACAACATACCTCACTCGTGCTCAGGGACCTCTGAAAAGAAGGATGGCCTTCCTCTTTGCCAAACACATGCCACTAAATCTCACTAAGACACTGCATCACGTTATAGAAGAGGAAAAAAAAAGTGTTTGTGTTAGTGGTTATTTACACCTGGTAGCCCAAGGAGGTTTTGTTCGCAACACAAATGGAAATTCTGAGCTTGAAAGAAAAAAAATAATAATAATAACAAGGAAGATTTTACCATTCATGCCCCCTAATTTAGAATAGATTTTTCAAGAAGGCTCTCAGGAGCTCTACAGCCCCAGTGACCATCCTTAAGCCTCCCCCCTCCACCACAGCTTCCCTCAGGTATATTTAGTGGGCACGAATTTCAAAAAGGTTCAGGTATCAGAAGACACACCCAAGTAAGTTGAGCCATCCTCTTGTTATCATCCTCCTATTGTCTGAATGAGTCAATCAGAGGAATGTCAGGCTCAGTAGCCCTAAACCTTTTCCTGAGGAAAGGACCTCATGAAAGACACAGCGCAGGGTTCCAAGGCCTCAGAAAGGAAATCCAAGCTTACACACACACACACACACACACACACACACCTCTGGGGAGATGATCTACAGAAATTCTCAGGAGCTCTATTAGTCTAAAATGATTAAGAATCATTGCTTGCCTTTCTCATTCCCTGGCCATCTTGGCAACTCTTCTTGGTTGGAGGCCATCCCACACCTAAGGTAGGAATAGGGCAGCCCCAGAAAAGATGAAAAATTACATTTCTGGAGTCCATCAACTCTAGGTCCTGACTGGACATGAAAAGTGGGACATACGTGCTGGGGTACAAGCCGACTGTGATGGTTGGCGAGGCAAAACTGATTGAAACGGATCATCCTGAACAACACTGCCCGACCTCGAGGAAGTCGGGAAGAGAGTACTATGTCCTGTCGGCCAAAACTGCCGTCCAGCGTGGAGTGGCAATAGTGCTGAATGAAGCATAGCATGCAGAAAAGAAAAGGCGCACGCTAGCTATCATTGATCCAGGTGATTCTGTGATCTTTAGAATTGTGCCAGAACAGATGAGTAAGAAGTAAACCATGCAGTTTTTCTTTAGTAAAACTGTCAAAGCTTATAGAAGGAAAGAAGGAACGAAGGAAGGAAGGAAGGAAGGGAGAAGGGAAGAGAAGGGGGGAGGGACGGAGGGAATGAATCACTGCTTTGGAGTAATGTTCTGAGAGAGGAAGCTGTATGCTATCCCCAAAGCCAAAGACAACTGGGTAAATTTGGCAGATCTGAGGAGGCAACTTCGATGTCTGCATTCTGACTGTGCGCCCACTTTCTGCTCTATGAAAACAAAACCTCTCACTGCTGCCCACAACCCAGTCTTCCCTCCCTTTCTAGAAGGCTCTCTCCATCTAGATCAGGTTTGTCTTTCAGGACTGCACACCCACCTCTAAAAATCTACTTCCCCTGCCATAGCATGTCCCCTGAGAGAAACACAGATAGTTCCTTCGATCACCCAAATTATTCTCAGACGCTCCTTGCTCTGTCCCCGGGTCCACAGGCCCTCCCTCAACTGCTTGGACAATGAGAACCTTGTTGTTGCAACCTCTCTGCATTCCGGTCTGGTCATTATTTATTTTGAACTCTAAACTGCCAGGAGACCACTGCTGCTTAATAGTCTTTTGTGTAGGAGGTGTTCAAAGCAAGGGTTTAATAACCAGACTTCAACATTGTTTTAAATTTTGTCACACTGCTTGGTAAGATTGAGGGAACTGGCTCTGTCAAAAGTCTAACCTATGGTTTCAATTAATTTTGGACATTTTAATCTTCATACTCTGTGCTCAAATACAATGGTTACCTTTTTTTTTTTTCCATCTTTGCAAGTATGATTTCTAACTCAGTTCCTCCCATCATCCCCTGCTTATGGGTCAGAATATTCAATTCACTAAGAAAGGGAGAAATTCTTGCTGCAGAACTGTTTTCAGGCATTCGAAGCCCTCACTATCTTTGCGTGGAAAAGCAACGTTTTCCCCAGCAGCTTTGATGAAGGCATTTTAAATATCTCACTTTGTTTGCTTGCCCTTCTTGGTTCCATCCCACCCACCAGGTGCCACAGTGCTGCTGTCGTTCCCAGTAGCAAAGTCTTTATATCTTCATAGCTGGCCAGCTTACGCATCTCTGATTCAAAATCTAGACTGCGTTGCCTGTTTCCCGAAACTCAGTTCTGCAGCGCAAGTGGAAGACACCGCCCCCAGCCCCCACCCCCACACATACAAGCGCAAGTACAGGATGACCTCTGGAAGGCATGAGACCACGTAGAATCAAGCATGAAGCTCCCTCCTCTATCCCATGACGATCAAAGCCTGTTTCAGATGGACTGCAGCCTGCTGGCTGCAAGTTTGCTAAGAAATGCTTCAGACACTTTGGCCACAACAGCTAAGCATCCTGGGCACTCGCCATCAAATTAAGTTTGGGCCCAGCTCTGCGCCAGGATCCTGGAAGCTACACTCATTGCACCGATTTTCCCAGAATTCGCCTACCCACATCACAGCCCACACGGCCCTGGGTTAGACTTCATACCGGGCTTTGTTCCTTTCTCAGCCATAGTTTCTTTCTTTTTGAAAACTAAGGCAGGCCAAAGATGGGAGACTTTGAACTTTTGCCGGCTTTTCCAGGGGGTCTCCTCCCTGAATGAAGCCAGGAGAAAACAGAATTGAGCAGCCTCTCCCCTCCCCACAAATCCAAAACCAGGGCATGAGTCTCCTCTGCAAATACCCCTACAAGGGTGTGTCTCCATCTGCGCTCATCTGACCCAGTTAAGGAGCCAGAAAGGGAGAATCACTCGCCAGTTACGAGCTCCCCACCCAGCCCTACACCACGCGCCTGCCCTGATGCCCTCTTGGGCGGCTTCAAGCGGCAGCTGAGAGATGCCAAGGCAAAGGGCAGAAAAGGCCAGGGCTGGGGGAGCTGTGCACCTCCAGGTGACGTTAGCAATGAGGCAAACCTACAAGTGTCACGAAAGAGGGGAAGAGGAGTCCGGGAAGGGGTACTCAGAGGGAGTGAGGGGTCCCTGCGCTCCCGGGGACGACAGCAGGGTGGAGGCCTCTGCGGGGACCCGGCGAGGCCACCCACCTCTTGATGTAGCTGCTGAGGCGGTAGAGCTGCCCGTCGAGGCGCACGCGGCCGTCGCCGAAGACGTTGAAGCCCCCGCGCGCCGCCGCGGGTCCCCCGGGGCCGGGCACCACAAGCTGGTCGCCGCGCAGCTGGAAGGCGCTGGGCTGCAGGCGCAGCAGCTGGGCCAGCGGCAGCAGGGCCAGCTCGCAGTCGCACGTCCATAGGCTGCGCAGCTCCCCCGACGAGATGGAGGTCAGGCTTGGCCTAGTGGCCGGCGCGCGCGCCACCTCAGCCATGGCCCTGCCTGCGGTGCCCACACGCCTCGCGCGCCCGGCTCCGGCGTCAGGTGCCCGCCCGCGAACAGCGCGACGCAGGCCCGGCGTGGAGAAAGCAGGGCCCGCGGCGCGCCGCCCTTTTATCCGCCCTGGGTGAGGCCGCCCGCCCCTCCGGGGCCTCGGGCACGACCCCGGACGCTGCGGACCGAGCTCGCGTCGGGCTGGAACTTGGCACGCTCCCGGCCGGCCGCGCCTGCTTGCCGCGGAGAGTTACTCATCCCCCTCGGGTCCGCTGCTCCACACCCGGGGCCAGGCCCGCCCCCGGCCTGGCCGACACCGCGGGGGCCGGGGTGGGGACGGACGGCCCGGGGGTGCTGGGCCTGGCCTCGGGGGAGAGGGGACCAAACAGCCGCGCGCGAGACCCCGCGCCTCCCTCTCCCGCCTCTCCCCGCTGGGGGCGGGGAGAGGGGCCGGGGTCTGCGGGCGGGTCGGGTGCTGACTTCTGACCAGCACTGACTTCTCCCAAGCCGGCCCCGATGTGGAGTCAGTTGCCCACCACGGCCTCCCGACTTGTTTTTTTAACTTTTCTTCCTTTTTTCCCCCTCCACACCATACTCTGCATTTTCGCTCCTCTCCCTGGATCCCTTTCCATGTGGAAATTCCACCGATCTTCATGGACCTTTTGCATAAAGCCTTCATGAATCCGCCGTGGATTTCATCTCCTTGCTTCGGCTTGCTCCTCCTGCACGTGGACCACCGGCCTCAGGGCACAGAGTCCTGGGGACCACGGAAAGGACCTGACAGTCCTGCCTCTTCCCCCGCCTCCGCCTCCGCAGTAGGCTGAGCTCCGGACGCCCCAGAGGCCCCGGGGTCGGTTTGTTTGTTGAGTCAGTCTATAGATGCTGGAGCGCCAGCTGTGTGCTCATTCCGTGGACATACTGAATGTGCTCCGTCGCCTGAGGTATGAAAGGACTATTTCATTCAATGTAGTTAAACAGCTGTTTCCCAAATAACCTTCTAGAAGCGGACTAGGATGGATAAGTTACAGCCCCTGTGCTTGGCTACCTTTAAGTGTGGTTACTAGAGGGTACACCACATTTCAGCAATTGCCATGCACTGAGTGAAAAAAAACTCTGCTGAGGATAAGCCTGGACTTAGCCGGGGACAAGTCAGCCCAGTTGTGGGGAGCCGGGGAAGCTCCCCGAAGTAGAGTAATTCAGGACACAAAACTGGATCCTAAAAGTTAACTAGAACTTCAAAGATACTTTCAAGTTGTCTTTATGTTCACCCAGCATGGACCCCCGCATAGGTTTAATCAAGTTGAATGAAGAGCCTTTCTGTTGTATCTTGTTGCAGTCCCAGAATATAAATACACTCCGTTCATTCCCTTCTCCAGACATGGGTCCCTTTGCCCCAGGATCAGTCCCCATTGCTGATCCTCTCTGAACAAATCTTTCACCCAAGATGCATGGACCATGACTGAAGAGTCTTTTGCGGGCAGGGTGGGGGAATGTGCCTGTGAAACAAGCACCCAGGGGGCTTGGCTCACAAAGTGAAGCCCGAGGACCACTGCACAGAGGATAGCAGTGAAGTGGCTGAGGCTCTAGGCAATACCCAGAGGCCGGGGCTGTGTTCACAGGGACAGATGTGGCACCAGCTGTAGACCCATCACACTCTTACTGGGGCATTCATTTTTGCCCCCAAAGAGATCAAGAGGAGTATGATAAAAGCTGTATTGGCTAAGTACTATGAGAGCAGGGTCAAGGGAGTGGTTGGTTCTACCTGGGAGGCCCCAGGATGGGTTCTCAGAAGAGGTGACAAGTGGGCTGGACTTTGATATAGGATAGGAACTCCCGAGTGAAGGCGTACCATGGATAAGAAGTTGGGAGAGAAGATCCTGGACTAACTTGTGCAAACAGAGAAAGTATGGTCTATTAGGGCAAGAATGGGAATTCTGTATGGCTCAAACAGACAAGGCCTATTTAGGGTGAGAGGAGTGAGTTTTAGGAGATGAGGCCAGAATGGGAAGTTGGAGCCAGATTGTGATAGGCTGTCTGAGTTGTCTAAGAATTTAGATTCTCAAGACAATGCAGAGCCTTCTAATGTTTTGAAGGAAAAGCTTGATACAATGATGCCTGACCTTGGATAGATACCTTTGGTTATGGTCACATAGAAGATGTTTTAAAACAGGAAGATTGAAGGCAAAGAGACTATGTAGGAGACTGATGTAACAGTCCAGGTAAGATATAATGAGAGTCTGAGCTAGTTCATGCAGCAGCTGTGGGGATGGAGATGACAGGATGAATTTGGGAGATTTCTGAACTAGAATCCAGCAGGATTTTATGAGCAAATACATGGAAAAGGAAAAGAAGGACAAGGGAGTAGAGAGAGAGATTTAGTCTCTCACTGGGGTACCTATGCTCAAAATCTGTAAGATTTTGAGCCACTTACAGAACATCCAAGTGGACAAGTGAAGGAGGCAGTTAATTAGTTGGGTCTGGAGCTTTTGAGAGAAGACAGGGTTAATAATTGAAATTTGAAACTGATGAACTCAAAGACAGGGGTTAAAACCAAAGAAATGGATGGGAGCATCTACTGATAAGTGATAGGGTAGGAATTTGAGCCCAAGCCTTTAGTTTACCTCCACAAATGTTTATTGAGCACCTGCTACATTCTACTGCCATCAGTTTGCTGACGATTAAGGAAGGGGGCGGGGATTGATAGTGCAAACCTCATTCAAAATGGGATCGGGAAGACTAGAAGGGAGAGCTCTTATACAGATACCACTCATATCATTCATTACTTTCTATGACCCATCAGTAAGACAACTTTCTATACCCCGGAAGAAGGAAGGAAGATTTTCTCCTTGCCGGGAAACAAACCCAGCCAGTGAGAAGCTGCCACAACCCAGCTAATGAGAAATTGCCACAACTCAGCCAATGAGAAGACACTACAACCCCAAACTCTCACTCTCCTCCAATGAACTTTTTTTATTTCCTCCAACGAACTGTCATTCAAAAACATCCCTCCCAACTCCCTCTTTTCCTTTAGGAAAGCAAGTCCCTCTCCTTTGTTCTCTGTACTTGCCCATGGTTTGCCATAGTTTGTCCCGAATTGCAATTCTTCTGCCACTCCAGAATAAACTCATCTGCTCCTTGATAACCTTCCTGGTTTAATTTTTATGGTTTACAAGAGGCTGGTCCTGTCCCCAAGTAAGAGGGAAGAATGCAGGAATCAGCACAGCTGGTCTCCTGGCACCACGTCCAGACTTATTGACGAATTCTAGCTGTATTTTACTTACAGCATTCTCTGATCTCTGATCTACTCATTAAGAGCAACAGCTACAAAAGTTGCTTTCCTGGTTGGTAAGGTCAACAGAAGGTAGGTCCTCTACAGAGCCCCGCCCAGGCCCACATAGACTGAGCTCAACATTGTGTGGATGATTAGGCTTTGTTAAGGGGTGTAATGTAGCGTAAGAGCTTTATGTCACAGTTATATGCAATTTGTTTAAATGAACACTGCAGTTTCTCCCACCAAAACTGTTTCCTTTATGAAGTAAAATATCAACATTTATTATCTAAATAGAAGGATTAAATGAAAATTTTCTTTGCTTCTCCATAGTTCTCTGATTTACAATTTTTCTACATTTTCCAAATGAGTGTGTATTGTTTTATACAGAAAAGTGGTGTCAAGCATAATAAAAACATGCTAAAGATGCTTTTCTAGTGTGTTATCTAGAGGTTTCATTTGATGCATTTTCAGTAAAACACCTGCATTTCTTTATGGATAATTTATGTACTAGCAAAATGCTAGAGAACAGTGTGAAAAAGGGAACGGGAAAAAAATGGCATTCATTGTAATGTCAACCATTGCTAATCAGTGGAGAACTATAGAGACTTTTTCCTGTTTTGTATCTTTTTCATTATCAAAGAACCAACCAAGCAAACATAATCACTGCAAGTGAAGATACTTTCAGTCCTTTTTATACTGTTGGCTTATTTATGGTGTGTTCATATTGTAGAATTGTTATTCTGCTTTTCTCACTTAACACTGTATATATATATCAAGTATCAAAAATTGTCTTTGTAAGTGGTATTTGAAGCCACTATGTTATTTTCCATCAAGAGGATTTACTATTTGTGTGGACATGTCTTTACTCATGACTACTCAAAGTGTTTCCAGTTTTTCTTCGTTGTAAACAATGCTGCAATGAACATCTCTGTACTTTTGCTTGTTTCTGTATCCAAACTCTCAAATGGAATTACTGAGAGAAGTGTTTTAAGGTTATTGAAAGTGCATGATTATTTTCCAAAAGAATTGTACCAAATTGTCTCTTCACCAGCAGGGAGTTTTCATGGCTTTAAATCTTTGGTACTGGATGTATGGTACCTCTCCGTATTTACATTTGTATGTCTTAGATTACAAGTGAAACTAATAGTTTAGCTGAGATGTTACTGTTCAGATTTGGAGACTGTTAATAGCAGAACAATCACCCGTTGATGAGTCTGTGGTTATGTCTGCTGTTAAAGCTAGGCAAAGTAAAGACTAGGACCATTCCCCATGTGCCACCATTTGGGTGACTGTGTGCTTTGGCAACATTACCAGCTTATAGGCTCAGTTTCTCAGTGGAGGTCCAAAGTTAGAGACCCTGATTCAAATTAACCAAACTCACACCAAACTGAAAACCAAAATTGCATCACCTCGACCCCCATTCTTGGATTTCCTTTTGGCATGCAAATATCTGCAGGTTTCTCCCTCTTAACCAAAAACTAATTTTTAAACAGTTTTCCATCCCACTTTTCTTTTTAGCTACTTTCCCATCTCCCTTCTTATCTTGATAGTCAAACTTCCTGAAAGACCAATCTAAATTCCTTGCCTTTCATTCACTCTTCAAGAATTTACAACCTGACTTCCACCCCATCACTCCACTGAAACTGACCCCAGTGTGGCCAGTAGTAAGACACTTTCTGTTCCACTCTCACTAGATAACACTTGTCCCTGCAATTCCCACTTCCCATAGTATGTGAAGAAGGTGCACAGTATAGCAGAAAGTGCCAACATTTTCATTTAAAACCCGACTCTGACACTTACTAGCCATGTCACCTTGAGCAAATTTCTTAACCTCTCTGACCCTTAACTTCTTCATCTCTAAAATTAGTGCAGTGTAGGGTGAGGCAGACTAGCTCCATAGTGGGGAGCTTAGACTTGGGGGCCTTATCAGCTGGGTCCAAGTTGCAGTCTACTCTGTGATCTTGAGTACATCACTCCTACGTGCTTCAGTGTCTTCATGTATAAATAGCAGGGCTTTGTGAGGATTTAATGAGCT